TGTCACAGAAGTTTCTTCTCTTAATGGGCTCTTAGTTCGGCTTTGTCACAGTTATCTATTAAGTTTAGAATATTTCTATAATCCTAGATGCGATGGTTCTCAACAAGGTTGATACACAATAACTTCTATTGGTAAAGATATTTTATTTATTATTAATTTTTTAAAAACCGGTTTCGGCTAATTGATTTAATATTATCTTTAAATCATTAATCAAACCAAAATTTCGGTTTGGATATTTTTGAAAACCAAAACTGAATTGATTAATCTGAAAACCCGGTTTTTCGATTCGGTTTCGATCCGATTTTCCAGTTCGATTCGGTTTTCGATTTTTTTTTTCAGCCCTAGTTAAAACAAGAAACTTTACACAGATCTTCAAGAACACGAAAGCCCATTTCATTTCTTTTCTTTAGTTTAACGTTCATACACTGCTCCTGTCCCTCAACAAATATATATGGAAATGGAACAAACATCACCCTTTCTTGCGACAAAGAGGTATATAAATTTTCTTGACTTTTGGTTTCCTCTTGTTTTTAGCTTAGATTTGACCAGTGTTAACGTGGTGGATTTTGAAAAGGCTTTAGAATTCATCAGTTAAACTTAAACAAGCTGCATGAAGTAGCAACATATTAGAAATAGCTATGCAAAAAATTAAAACAAGATTTTACCATATATATATGTATGTCATGCTAGTCAGACTTTTAATTTCTGAATATTACATGTTTTCGTGTACCAGGTATGCAGTTGTGACAGGAGCTAACAAGGGAATTGGATTTGAAATATGTAGACAGTTGGCTTCTAATGGGATTGTCGTTGTGCTAACTTCCAGAGATGAGAAGAGAGGCCTTGAAGCTGTTCAAAAACTGAAGGAGTCTGAGCCTGGTCTCTCTGACTATGTGATTTTTCATCAACTTGATGTGGGAAACCCTGCTAGTGTTGCTTCTCTTGCAGATTTCATCACGACTCAATTTGAAAAACTTGATATATTGGTATTCAGGCCAACCCTTATTTTCCTTGAAATTTCAATCTTTTTCTTAATATAACTGCATTCTATGGATTGGTGATTAGTAAATATATGCGTTCATAATGGAGATAGTATCTCCTGTAATCCAGCACAATTGTGGACACTTTTGTTAAGAAAGGATATAATCGCCAAGAAACTTCACCAGAGTTTACCCTTAATTTCTCTTCCATTAATAGGTGTATAAGGAGAAAATGAGGCTATAAAAGTACAACCGGAATCCAATTTTATATGTTCAATATTATAGTTCATGATCATGAACTTCATCATAACGTACATCTCAGAATAGCAATGGGTCTCCAAGTTATGTGCTCGTTTTAACGCTTTCAAATCCATTTAAATAGGGATACTGTTTTGAATGTACAGGTGAATAATGCAGGGATTGGTGGAGCTACACTAAACGCTGATGCATTTGTTAGAGCCACAGAACTTTCTGGTGGTTGGGTAGGTATCCTATATACTATATGTTTCTTTGTTGATCGATTGAGCTTTGTTGTCAAGTTAAATATATTGTGCTTAAAAGCAAATTAGAGAGATGATAACTGGCTATATATATTAACCTTTTGTTGTGGTATTTGGGCATGAAGCTTTCTTCAAATTAATGTCCGAGGGGATTAAGTTTGTTTGCATGATGCAGCCACAGGGAGAGCATGCCAATTGGAATGAACTTGCATCTCAAACTTCTGAGGCGGCAGAAGAAGGCCTGAACACAAACTATTATGGTGCAAAAAGAATGTTTGAAGGTCTTGTTCCCCTCCTTCAATTATCCGATTCACCAAGAATTGTCAATGTTTCCTCTCTTCTAGGATTATTAAAGGTAAAAAAAGTGACTTGCAGAGCTAATTTATATCATTGAAATTAATTTAAATATATTATTGAAACATGCACAATGTTGACATGTACAGAATATACCAAATGAAGGGACTAAAGAAGTGCTAAACGATGTTGAAAGCCTTACAGAAGAAAGAATTGATGAGGTATTGAGCAAGTTTCTCAAGGATCTGAAAGAAGGATCCTTAGAAAAAGAAGGTTGGCCGACATATCTGTCCGCATACATTCTCTCAAAAGCATCTATGAATGCTTACACAAGGATTCTGGCCAAGAAATACCCAGCTTTCTTGGTGAATTGTGTTTGCCCGGGCTTTGTCAAAACTGACATAACGTGCAATACTGGCCTCTTTAATGCTGCTGAGGGAGCACAAAGTCCTGTGCGGTTGGCTCTACTGCCTCATGCCGGGCCTTCTGGCCTTTTCTATAGTCGAGATCAACTGTCACGTTTTTAATCCAAAATGAATGAAAGATTTAAGGGTTGTGATTTGATAGTTAGATCGTGGTGTTGTAAGTGGCAAGATGTCGAGTAACAATAAGGATTAGACTGAATATGACCAGTTTATTATAAGCAATGAACCTCCACCGTTTACTTATTGGTGGAGGAAACTTGAGGCGGTGAAAGTGGGATGGTGTGATGGCTATAATACCCTCCTCCCTTTCATTCTTTACATCCAAAAACTTTTGAGGGATTAAGTAATATCAATCAAATCTCTCAATTCTCTCACTTTAGTCCTTGTTATTTACTTTGTTTACTTTATCTTTCTTGAGTTATTACTAAATATCATCATTAATATTACAACAAGTTATCAGTACGAAGAGTTTAACAAGTATAAAATTACACCCTTATTGAAACTATGTATTTCGATCTTACATGTCTTCTTTAATTTATGTTTTTGCTCTTATGGTTGAATTTATTTATTATTATTAAATTCTACCTCTATAGTCGGATCTATTTATTATTGTTAAATACCCCCTTCATGGACAGATTTATATATAATTGTCATTTTATTTATTGATTCTTTACAATTATCTCATTTTATATTTCATTTGTTAGTTTTGGATGCCTGAATGCATCCTATGACATACATCCAAAAGATGCGTAACTAATTACATTACTCTTATTAATGAATAGTTTTTGGAAATGTCGAACCTTGTGAAGCTCCCGTAGGAGGCCTTGAGACTAGATGGAAATAACTATGATGAATGCGCCCTAGACATTGCTCTCCATAGGGGTGTTAAAAAAAGTGCAAAAATCGAACTGAACCGAACCGAAAAACCAGTTAACGGAAAAAACAGTTCGGTTTTGGTTCGAAAAATTCAAAAAACCGAATTTTCGGTTCAGGAAAAAATAAAAAGCAGTCAACCGAAATTGGTTTTTTGAACCGGTTTTATATATATATATATTAAATAAAAATAAATATTATATATTAAATAAAAAAATAATAATATAATATATCATATATTAAATAAAAAAATAATAATATTTTTAATGTATTGTTAGTAGCGGTCATAGATATGTATGAATGTTTAATTTTTATTTGGATATGTATTATTTATATTTACAATTTAATTTAGGAAAAAATTAAAAAAAAAAGGGAAAACCGGTTATCCCTCCAAACCGGTTCGAGAATTTTTTCAAACAAAAAAATCGATTCGGTTCAAAAAAGCGGTTAACCAGTTCATTTAACCGCTTTTGAACACTCCTAGCTCTCCATCTAGAATCTATGAAACTAGGGGAAGTGATTAAGGAAGGAAACATGGCGTCCTTGTAGGAAAAATTAAAGGTTACTATTTTCCTTCAGCATCATATCAAAGAAGGACTACGAGTTGAGTATAGGGATATAAAAGATCCACTCCAATTATGGATTAATCTGAATAAGGGATTTGAATATAATAAATCAGTAATATTCCTGACGGCTGAATATGACTAGACCCATTTGCTTTTACAAGACTATAAATCTATTACTGAATATAATTCTATTTTATTTGACCTAAATTAAGATTATGTGGAGAGAAAATATTTAAAGAAAATATGTTGGAAAAAATATTCTCCACTTTCCACCCTTCCAATATGCTCCTGTAGTTTCACCCTTCTAATATGCTCCTGAATTGTTGCTGCAGGAGCATATTGGAAAGCTGGAAAGTGGAGAATGTTTTTTCCAACTTATTTTCTACAGATATTTTCTCTCCACATAATCTTAATATTGACAATGCCAAATAAAACAGAATTATATTCACTCACTGATTTATAATCTTGTAAACACAAATGGGTCTAGTCAGATTGAGCTGTTGAGAGTATTACTGATTTGTTATGTTCAAATCTCTCCTTTATATTAATCCAAAATTTGAGAGGTCCATATCAATTACGTCTGCTCTCAATTCTCTTGCTTTGTCCATTCTCTCTTTTATTTGTTAAAATTTAATTATTATACAACACACTTGTCTTAAACTTGAATTTTTATGCTTAGGTTGATTAATTAAAGACATAAGTGTATGAATATAGAGCTGAATAAAACATGCAATATGTTACACAAAACTAAATTATAAAATATTTTTTAACGATTAAAGTGTTCTGATTAGTTTACACGTACCTCAACTAATACTCTAAGACCCTAAAATCATCGACCGAATAAAAGCTTTAGTGACTACCTCTATTAACAACCAAGAAAAGACTCAAACTCAAGATCTCTTGAATAATACACCTAAAAGTTGCTATCGAATCACTATTCATTAAGTTTGATCTATTCTAATCAATCAGATTGATTATTCGAAAAGCCAATATGTTGGGCATGTGAATAATATGTCAAATCAACCACCATTGAATGACCTGATGCTAAAAGAACAAAAGAGGTTTTATAAGCTCTTGAGTTTGAATCCTCACATATTCTAATGAGAGTGATCACTTATAAACTTACCCGATCGTAACTTCGAGATCTTAAAAAATTAATTAAGGGACGCACAAACTATCTAGACAATCCCTCTCACAAATAATAATAATAATAATAATGCGGGGACTGCTGGAGCAGTTAAAGAGCCTGATGCTTTTTCGAGAGCTGTGAAGCTTGCCCGTGGTTGGGTAGGTTTTTACTTTATGCAAATGTAGGGCAAGTAGCAAGCGGCATGTCAAGCATGAGCAGGAGAAATGTTGAACATGAGAAAACGAATGTCTGACATAGTTGCACCACATAATCTTGTTGAAGCGTATATGACTTTGATATTGTGGGTAAATGTAATATGCATTTTGTATAAATTAAATCATAAATGGGATACATTTTGATTCTCAAGTTAATTTTTTTTTTTTTTTTTTTTTTTTTTGATTCAGCCAGTAGAGCACATAAATTGGAATGAAATTTTAACTCAAACTCTTGAGATGGCAGAAGAATGCGTGAATACAAACTACTATGATGTAAAAAGAATGGCTGAAGCACTTGTTCCCCTTCTCCAGTTATCTGATTCACCCTGGATTGTCAACGTCGCCTCTTTGCTAGGAACGTTGAAGGTAATAGAAAATCTTCTATTTCCAAGATAACGTGCTTTATGTATACTTGATTGCTCTCGTATATATATTCAAAGTACCTTGTAAATGCACATTGCTTTCTGAGAAAGTCTTAGATAGCTGATCACTCAGTTTCTTTAAAACACTGATATTCGCTTCATATTCTATCTGGCTAGCAAATTTTTTTGCTTCATTTTACATTGCTGAACAATCATGTTCCACACACCCCATTCTCAAGGGTCCTGTATAAAAGAAAGTGAGAGTCATAAAATTAGCAGCTTCTGACCGATTTCTCAGTAATTAACTGAAAATAGTGAGTACAGTGCTTCCAGAAAAATTATAGCTAAATGGACAAATTAGAATTTTAAAATCTTTGTTAATGTAATGCAGTCATGTTATTGAACTAGTATTGCATACTTTGAGGTCTTTTGAATCGGGTTAATTTTAGATTATTGGGGTAATATTTTTCAAATTGAACAGATGATGATGTTTGGTTGGTTTGTAAAAAATTATTCTCGTTATGACAAACAGTGGCATTTAGGGGGTAAATTACAGGGAATCTTAATATCTTTTTTTTTGGGGGGGGGGGGGGGGGGGGTGGGGGGGGGGGGGGGGGGGGGGGGGGGGGGGGGGGTGTTGCTGTTGTTAGAACTTACCCAAGGTAATATATTTTGTTTCCCACATTTGGTTCAAATTAGCCTTATATTTATTAAGGTTTACAAAACACCCAATTCACTCATACAAACCTTTTTGTCCTCATTTTTTAAATTTTCTGGACAACGTTGCCCTTGTTATTGTTATCATTTACAAAAATGCCATTGTACCTAGAACTAGCCATTACTGCCAGCCATCGTGGACAGTCGCCGGAGGTTGCCAAAAGTCGTCATAATGGCCTACGATCGGTCGTATATGGCCAACCGTGTGCCAATGAGGCTGTTTTCAACCATGGATCTATCGGAAATGGCCAAATTCACGACCACATCTTTGGTTGTGAAACGATTGGCGTTTTACGACCAAAGACCTGACCATTTCACTGCTAAATCTGTGGTTGTGAAACAACTGGCGTTTCACGGCCAAAGACCTTGCCATTTCACGGCCAGATCTATGGCACTGTTGGCGGTCACTGACAGTGGTGGCTGTCTGCCTATAGTGGCTTGGGGTGTTTTTGTTAAGTTTATAACATTTTTGGTTGCTAGGGTGTTTTTGCTAAATCTGAAAATTAGGGGGTTAAAGGAAATTATTTAAAAAATAATAATAAAAAATTCTATTATATTAATATTTAAAAAGGAGGGCAATTTAGTAATCTATATAACATATATACTCATTTATGCTCCTAACCAAACATATTATTCACCAATTTATTCGAATAAACCAAATGCATTTTTTTAAACATTCTTAGTTATCTTTAAAGTGATTTTTTATTTCGTTAATATAATATCTCCTATAATAAAACATTAAATCATCTAAATACCTGCTTTGACCTAAATTTTATGACCAGATGGTAATTATGAGAGTAATTTCTTATGCTCAGCTCCAACATGCATGGACAAATTATTGTATTTACACTGGCTAAAAATCTCATTGTTATTGTTTACATATATTTCTCATGGCATTAAATATGTCCGGCTGAAAATTTCCTGTCATGTTGGCCCAGAATGTTACTGGTGAATCAGTCAAAGGAGTGCTACTTGATGTTAATAGGCTTACCGAAGAGAGATTGGATGAGTTATTGAACAAATTTCTGAAGGATTTCAAAGAGGGATGGTTAGACAAAGAAGGTTGGCCAGTGTATCAATCAGCATACATAGTCTCAAAAGCAGCTATGAATGCTGACACAAGGATTCTGGCAAAGAAGTGCCCACGTTTCATGATAAATTGTGTCTCCCCAGGCTTTGTCATGACTGACATGAATTGCAATGTTGGCCTCTTGACTGTTGCTGAAGGAGCTGAAAGCTGCGTGAGGGTGGCCCTACTGCCTCATGGCGGACCTTCTGCACTTTACTTTTCTCGAAATCAAGTGACAACCTTTTGAATTANGAGTAAAAAACCACCCTCAGATTGACTAATACTTCCTAATCAATCTACCATAGTTACAATGATTCTCAAAGATGCAGAAAACCTAATCAAGAACAGAGAAATAAGAATGCAAGAGAAACCCTAAAAACTGATCTACACAAATGACTGTTCATCTCTCTTTTATACCGTTGACCCTCTTTGACAAGCCTCAGCCATTGGATCTGGACAGTTTGGATGGTCAGGATGTTCAGCTTATTCTGTCCCAAAACTCTGCGTTTCACTTAAGTAACAAAACGGTGTCGTTTTCAGTCTTCACTTCAACAATCTCCACCTTGAAGACTTGAAAAGTAACCAGTAGTGCAGTGGACTCTAACCATATCCCTCATAGCTCTATTTTATGTTGAATTACTCCATGGACAGCAAATTCAAGTAATGCCTGAACTTTGCTGGTGTGATGATCTTGGTCCCCATATCGGCTGGATTTTCCTCAATGGGCACTTTCTTCAGCTCAATTAATCCTTGGGCTACCAGATCTCTCACAAAGTGAAACCTTACGTCTATGTGTTTGGTCCTCTCGTGAAAAACTGGGTTTTTACTCAGATGTATAGCACTCTGGCTATCTGAGTAAATTGTGACCTTCCCTTCAGTCAAGTTTGCTTCTAACATCAGCAATGGCTATGTACTCAGCCTATGGGCTGCAACTGTGATTTCCACCATATGCAGTTTCCACCAAGTGTAAAACAGTAAGCAGTTGTGGATTTTCTGGTGTCTCTATTACCTGCAAAATCTGAATCTACGAACCCAACAAGATCAAGCATATAATAGTTATTACAGTACTTTAAACCAATATTTAATAAGTTGTTAATGTGTCTTAGAACCCATTTTAGGGCAGTCCAATGTTCACTGCCAAGGTTGGACATGAATCTACTAAGAAGTGATACAGCAAAAGACAGACCATGTCTGGTGCTTATCATTGCATACATTATGGAGCCAATCACATTTGAGTATGGGATATCATTCATCTTTATTATCTCAACTTCAGTTTTAGGACATTGTTCTTTACTAAGTATGAAGTGATTTTCCAAGGGCATTGTGACAAGTTTTGAGTCAGTCATACCAAATTTGTTTATTACTTTCTGCAAATAAGCACCCTGACCTAGTTTTAAGCAGTTATTCCTCCTGTCTCTAGATATCACCATCCCTAATATTTTCTTGGCATTTCCCAAATCTTTCATGTCAAATTCTGAATTTAATTTCTTTTTCAGATCTTGTATCCTAGACTTGGATCTACTGATTAACAGCATATCATCAACATACAGCAAAAGATAATTGGGCAGATTTTTATCTAGATCAAAGTAGAAGCAACTGTCATACTTGCTTCTCCTAAATCCCAGGCCTATTATAAAGGTGTCAAACCTTTTGTACCACTGCTTGGGAGCTTGTTTGAGGCCATATAGAGACTTATGGAGCAAGCATACATAGTCAGGAGCCCTAACATCAATGAATCCTATAGGCTGACTCATATAAATTTTCTCATCCAAATTTCCATGCAGAAAAGCAGTAGTTACATCTAGTTGTTCTAATTCTAGATTCTGGTGTGCAGCAATGGCTAACATTAATCTGATGGTTTTGTATTTCACCACTGTGGAAAAGACTTCATTAAAGTTTATTCCCTCTCTTTGGGTGTAGCCTTTGGCAACTAGCCTAGCTTTATACCTAGGTGGGTTAGAAATTGAAATACCATCCTTAAGTTTATAGAGCCACTTACATTGGATTAGCTTCTGATCTTTGGGTTTGGGTACCAAAGTCCAAGTTCTGTTTACCTCTAAAGAGTGCATCTCTATCCTCATTGCTACTTCCCACTTTTCTTTATCTTGGGATTTCATAGCCTCCTCATATGTTTCAGGTTCTGTCCTCTGAATTTCTGTACCTGCAATCAAAGTAGAAAAAATTAGTTCAGCATAAGAATAACGAGCAGGTGGCCTTACCTCTCTCCTGATTCTATCTCTGGCCAGTTGGTACTGTTGAAGGTTAGTTGGTTGATGTTCTAAGATCTCATCAGTGGTTCCTTCTTCTGGTTGTTCAGGTTCAGTATCAGCTTCTGTTTGGGTTTCAGTTTCAGTTGGGTGGAGTTAGGCTGATGAGTAAGTTACTTCACCTCAATTGGTGTACTTCTAGTAGGATTGGGGTTAGGTTCAGTGTTTTCGATGTTTCCCTGATCAGTGGTAGGTCCTTTGCAAGGGAATTCACACTCATTGAACACTACATCTCGGCTTACAATAATCTTTACCCCTGGAGTCTCCCTATACCAAAGTCTATACCCTTTTGTGTCTTCTTGGTAACCTAGGAATATGCACTTGGTAGACCTAGGTTCAAGTTTTCCTCATACAGTCTGTGCATAAGCAGCACAACCAAAAATCCTAAAATGGCTTAAGTCTGGTCTTCTTCTAAACCAGATTTCTTCGGGACACTTTCCATTGATGGCGATAGAAGGACTTCTATTCACCAAGTAGGTAGTGGTGGCTAAGGCTTCCCCTCATAAAGTGTTTGGTAACCCTGAAGTAAACAAGAGACACCTAACCTTTTCTAGTAAGGTACGGTTCATCCTTTCTGCCACTCCATTCTGTTGAGGGGTCCTAGCTACTGTTCTATGTCTCAAAATACCATGTTCTTTACAGAAGTTTTCAAACTTAGAATTGCAGAATTCCAGACCATTGTCTGTGCGAAGTGCCTTAACTTTCTTTCCTGATTGGTTTTCTACTAGTGTTTTCCAATCTCTAAACTTGGTCAAAGCCTGATCTTTGGTCTTTAGGAGAAAAGTCTAAACCTTTCTGCTGTGGTCATCTACAATGGATAAGAAATAGCTGTTCCTACTATGGGATTTAATTTTTTTCAGGTCCCCAGAGGTCAGAGTGTAAGTACTCTAGGCAGTTTGTGGTTAGGTGAGTCCCTTTTGAAAAACTTAGTCTGTGTTGTTTTCCTAACACACAGGTTTCACAGAATTTTAGGTTGCTAATGATATCCTTCCCAAACCCTCCTTGACTGCTAAGGATGTGCATACCCTTCTAACTCATGTGTCCTAACCTAAGGTGCCTTTTTTCAGTTATTGTTTGTTTGATGGGAGACAATACAGTTCTAAAACATTCTAGGTTAGAATCACAACATAAAATGTATAGACCATTCCTCTTTTCCCCTTTGAGAACCAAGTTCTGGTTTTTGTACACATATAAACAACCATTGTTAGCCTTATAGGAACATCTAGCCTCATCTAGTGTTCCTAAGGAAATAAGATTCCTTTTTAACTCAGGGATGTACCTAACATTGGTTAACCTTGCAATTTTTCCATTAGTAAGTTTAAGAGTTATACTGCTTATACCCTTCACCCCACGTGCTTGATTATTCCCCATATAAATAGTTTCAGTTTCCTGAGATTCTATATTTTGGAACCAGTTCTTGTGTGGACTCATATGAAAAGAACAGCCTGAGTCCAGGACCCATTCCTTAGCAATATCAGATGTTGATACTATCAAGACCTCAGGTTCCTCCCATTGGTTATCACTAGAAGCTAGATTACTCTTAGTATTACCCTGTTTATGTTTCTTCAACCATTCAAAGCAGTTTTTCTTGATATGACCATGTTTATTGTAAAAGAAGCACTTCCTAGTGTCTGATTTTGTTTTATTATTCCCCTTCCATTTTTAGACCCATGTTGGTTCTGAATAGTCTTTCCTGTTTGACTAGATTCTGGCCTACCCTTTACAAACAAGTTACTCCCAGATCTTTTCTGAATCTTAAGCTCTAATTCCCTAGCTTTAAGACCAGCAACTATTAAATCTAGGCCAGGCACTGTCCCTGAAATCTGAAGGGCATTCTTTACAACTATGTAGTCTTCGGTTAAGGAATTTAATAGGATCATTGCTAAACTGGTGTCAACTAGTTCCTGATTAGTTCCTTTAAGAATTAAAGTCATCTTAAGGAATTCATCTAAATTATCCTCAACAGATTTAGAACCATCCATTTTGTATGAAAATAAAGCACCTTTTAAAAACGCAAGGTTAGGTGCTGACTGCAAAGAATACAAGGTTTCGAGTTTACCCTATAGGGCTAGAGGAGTTTCTAGCCCATCTACCTTCCGCAGGATGTTTTCTGACAGATTCATCACTATGAGGTTGTACGCTTCCTCATTGATTTCATCCTTTTTCTTCAGTTTCTCTTCTGGCCATTTGGTTTCGTCTTTCTCTAGGGCAATTCCCACCTTGTTGTGGGACAACAGTGCTTTCATCTTCTTTTTCCAACTCCCAAAATCTATCTTTCCATCGTATTGAGTGATTTCTAATCGTGTAGTTGACATTTTGTGTTTAAACAATTGACTATGTTTCAAAAAACCCTAATTGAAACCCTAGACCGAATTGACAATATAATTCTTGAACAAATTGCTATGACTCAGACCTGAATCTTCAACAAGATTTCCTCAATTAATGAATTTATCACTCGAATATGTAAACTAGGGCTCAAGATTGCTAAGGGAAGCCTTAATTTGAAAAACCCCCAAATTCTAGACAAACCCTAATTTTTCAAAAACCCTAAATCACTGAGTAATCTCCAAATCGATTAAGCTTATTGTCTAATAGCTCTGATACCACTATTAGAACCAGTCAATAAACACAAACTAAACACCAGATCAATCAAACAAACATCCACACAAACCACCAACACAAGAACACAAGATTTACCGTGATTCGATTATCCTGATTGGATAATCTACATTCACGTTGAGCTTCGGAAATAGAGAGCTCAAGACACTACCAATTATAACAATATNACTGACTCAAGAAACCCTAGATCGAACTGACAATGTAAATCTTGAACGAATTACTAAGACTCAGACCTGAATCTTCACCAAGATTTCCTCAATCAGTGAATTTACCACTCGAATCTGTAAACTAGGACTCAAGATTGCTAAGGGAAGCCTTAATTTGAAAAACCCCCAAATTTTAGACAAACCCTAATTTTTCAGAAACCCTAAATCACCGAACGGTCTCCAAATCGATCAAGCCTATTGTCTAATAGCTCTGATACCACTATTATACTGAGCAAACAAACACAAACATAAACCAGATTTCAACTCCACACGGATTACAGAAAACATCCACACAAGAAACGCAAGATTTTTACCGTGGTTCGATTGTCCTATTTGGATAATCTACGTCCACGTTGAGCTCCGAAAATGGAGAGCTCACAACACTACTAATCTGAATAATATCAATACAGTACAAGATCCAACACAACCAGATCAAATCCTCTCTATTTCTACCCAAGAATCAACCCATAACTCACCCAAGAACTCTCACCTGGAATCCTCAAGCCATAAGAGTAAAACTACCCTCAGATTAACTATCATTCACTAATCAATCTACCTAGTTACAATGATTCTAAAAATGCAGAAAAACCCAAGAAGAACTGATAACGCAAACTGTAAAAAAACGCAAAAAAATTCAGATCTGATGTACAGTGAACAATTCCCTCTTTTATACTGTTGACTCTGTGAAATGCCTCAGCCGTTGGATTTCTGCAGATTGGATGGACAGGATGCACACATGACTCAAGCCAAAACTCTACGTTTCATTTAACTGTAAAGCGGCAGCGTTTTCAGTCTTCACTCCAAAATTTTTTTAAGGTAAAACAAAAGGGTGGGGTTATTTGTAACTAAATTCACATTTTGCAGACTTATTTTGTTTTAAGTTTATACACATAATATTAAAAATTATGCATATTTGTCCATTATTTACATGCTTCCGTAGCTACGACACATACAACCTTGAATGCTGAAACAGTGTTTTTTAATCAATTTTCAACAAAGTTTGTGATTTTTATTATATATCTCATCAACTTATCCCCAACAAGTCAAGCCAAAATCCAAAATTTACTCACAAATGGACAAACCATCTAATGCCCGACAACCTAAAATCAGGCCATGTGATATGAATTGTGATCCATGGCAAGTATTATAAAGAGAGAACAGGCACATAAATTTATTTATTATTTTTTTTTGGTGAGCAGAGTGTCCGGGCTAGCTTGCACGCACCTCAACTAATCACTTGGGCCCCTGAAGTTGACAATCGAATAAATCCCCTCAGTGGTCACCCCTATTAGCAAGACATAAATTACTACCTTATTTGGCTGATAGTTTTGTCTCTCGAGTTCAAGTCTCTAAGGTTGTTAATACTGGTGGCTACTAGAACTCTTATTCCGTCGATAATTTTCAAAATCCCTAACAAATAGTTGAGATGTGCACAAATTGTCCAAACGCTTCAATCATTAGAAAACAAAAAATCAATATTGATATGGATATAAATTCTGAACCCGCAAATGCCATGTTCATCCCCACGTGAATGGGATTAATTTATATTTTACTAATGACCATTTATTTNCGACTAGAGCAAAAATTGATTTATGTGAGTGTTTTTGCTTGGTTGCTTAGAAATTCTGGGAGAACGCAGGGAAAAGCAAGGGCAAGATTTGACTATGATTTTGAAAGTATAGGAGAATCTCTGCTAAAGCTAGCCAGTTAGTTGAATCACATATGTTTTTTAAAGATCTTTTTTTTTTTTTTTTTTTTTTTTTTTTTAAAGAGCATTAAAATTTTAATTAAACACTGTTAGTTACCGTAAATTGGCATTTTGATCCTGTTATTCAAATTTGAAAATTTAGGTTTAAAAATTGTGATTTATTAGATTTCCAGCCTTTTCTTGGAAGAAGATGAAAAATGGTTCAGTTTTGTTGATACATATATGGCAGGTGGTGGACAGGGAACCAATTTTATATGTTGTTTTGTTTTATTATGATTACTTGCTCTTTTGTAGTGGCCATCTTAAACCCACTAGTTTTTTATGAATTATGGCAGATTTGAAAAGAATATGGATGATAGTTTATATGATGAGTTTGGAAACTACATTGGACCTGGAATAGAGTCCGACCGAGAGAGTGATGCAGACGAAGAAGATGAAGACCTTCCAGACAAGGCTGCTGAGGATGAACCTGTGTCAGATGGTGAGGGTGCAGCCAACGGGTGGATTACTGCTGCTAATGATGTTGATATGGATAACCAGATTGTCCTTGCTGAGGATAAGAAATACTACCCAACCGCAGAAGAGGTTTACGGTGAAGATGTTGAAACTTTGGTCATGGATGAGGATGAGCAGCCTCTTGAACAACCCATTATTAAACCTGTGAGGAATATCAAGTTTGAGGTTGGGGTGAAAGATTCTTCAACTTATGTATCAACCCAGTTTCTTATTGGTCTTATGTCAAATCCTGCTTTGGTACGGAATGTTGCACTTGTTGGGCACTTGCATCATGGGAAGACCCTTTTTATGGATATGTTGATTGAACAAACACACCATATGTCTACATTTGATCTAAATAGTGAGAAGCACATGAGATACACAGATACAAGGATTGATGAGCAAGAAAGAAGGATATCAATCAAGGCAGTTCCAATGTCGCTTGTTTTAGAGGATAGCAATTCAAAATCATACCTGTGTAACATCATGGACACCCCTGGTCATGTCAATTTCTCTGATGAAATGACTGCTGCTCTCAGGCTTGCAGATGGTGCTGTTTTAATTGTTGATGCTGCTGATGGGGTGCTGGTAAGATACCCATTCTGTTGCAACTTGGAATCATTCATCTATCAAAATAATCCAATTATTTACACATTATTTTTGGTTGTTTGGCAGAATTCTATTTAGTTATCTATTTTCAGGAGTCACCATTGCTAGACCTAGCATGAAGTTTGAAAATACTAAGGTGATAGGTATCTCGTTGTGGGCATAAATGTTGGCATGAACTCAAGCTATGGTTTGTGACAGCAATTGGTTTTTTTTTAATAAAAAAAAACCAATTGCTGTCACAAATCAAATAATCTCTATTAAATTCGATGTGTGCTCAGTGACTTATTCTCTGGACCTTTGAATTGTGTTGTTTAACATGATATTGTTGCTGCTGGTGTTTTCAATGGAATGTCTTTGACCATCATTTGTCATGTTGGCGTGAAGCATATGATAGTCATGAGTTGCTTGGTATGATAATTCTGGTTTTTTTTTTATGCACAGGTGAACACAGAGAGGGCTATACGCCATGCTATCCAAGAGCGCCTGCCCATTGTAGTTGTAATCAATAAGGTAAATTTAAATCCAGCTGTGCTCAATTCTAACTTTCAAATTTTATTATGAACTAGTGCTTCATGCCTTAGTGTACCTACCATTTGATTTATGTATTTTTTTCCCTTTGAAGGTTGACAGGTTGATAACAGAACTGAAGCTGCCTCCCAAGGATGCTTACCATAAATTGAGGCATACAATTGAAGTCATTAATAACCACATTTCTGCTGGTTCAACCACTGCTGGAAATGTTCAAGTTATAGATCCAGCTGCTGGAAATGTCTGCTTTGCAAGTGCCAGTGCAGGATGGTCCTTCACTTTGCATTCATTTGCTAAATTATATGTCAAACTCCATGGGGTCCCATTTGATGCTGATAAGTTTGCAGCTCGTCTTTGGGGGGACATGTACTATCATCCAGATACAAGGAATTTCAAGAAGAAACCCCCTGTGAGTGGAGGGGAAAGATCGTTTGTCCAATTTGTTCTTGAACCCCTGTACAAAATATATAGCCAAGTGATTGGAGAACATAAGAAGAGTGTGGAGGCAACTCTTGCAGAACTTGGTGTAACTCTTAGCAATGCAGCTTACAAATTGAATGTCAGGCCTCTGCTCAGGTTGGCTTGTAGCTCAGTTTTTGGTGCAGGCTCGGGCTTTACTGATATGTTGGTGAAGCATATACCTTCTGCCAAAGACACTGCAGCAAGGAAAGTAGACCATATATATACAGGACCCAAAAACTCTATGATTCACAAGGCCATGGTAGATTGTGATCCTTCTGGCCCCCTTATGGTCAATGTGACCAAGCTGTATCCCAAGTCTGATTGCAGTGTTTTTGATGCTTTTGGTAGGGTTTACAGTGGTACAATTCAGACAGGGCAGACTGTACGTGTGTTGGGAGAAGGCTATTCCCCAGATGATGAGGAGGACATGACTGTAAAAGAAGTAACAAAATTATGGATTTATCAAGCTCGAGATAGGATACCCATAAGCAGTGCGCCTCCAGGTTCTTGGGTTCTAATTGAAGGTGTTGATGCATCAATTATGAAAACTGCCACTCTCTGTAATATGGATTATGATGAAGATGTGTACATTTTCCGGCCACTACAATTCAATACCCTTCCAGTGGTGAAAACAGCTACAGAACCCTTAAATCCTAGTGAGTTGCCTAAAATGGTGGAGGGTCTTAGGAAAATTAGCAAAAGCTATCCTCTAGCCATAACTAAAGTTGAGGAGTCTGGGGAGCATACTATTTTAGGTACTGGAGAGTTGTACTTGGATTCAATTATGAAAGATCTTAGAGAGCTTTATTCTGAAGTTGAAGTCAAGGTACTTATTTTCTTATACCACTTTGTTCTTGGAAAAATTTATCTTCTTCGTCTCTGTTACTTTTGACTTAATAGACATGCTCTGTTTAAATTATAGGTGGCAGATCCTGTAGTCTCATTCTGTGAAACAGTGGTAGAGTCTTCATCGATGAAATGTTTTGCAGAAACACCCAACAAGAAAAATAAAATCACCATGGTAGGGAAGCCACTTAATTTTTATTCTGGATCCGGGTGCTTTTGGGAATTGCAATTAATATGGTTAATCTAATAAGTTTTTCTAAATTTCTATAAAAAATTGGCAGATTGCAGAGCCACTGGAGAGAGGTCTTGCAGAAGATATTGAGAATGGTGTTGTAAGCATTGATTGGAGTCGAAAGACACTTGGTGATTTCTTCAAAACAAAATATGACTGGGATTTGCTGGCGGCTCGATCCATATGGGCATTTGGCCCTGATAAGCAGGTAAGATAGATGCTTTACATTTTTTAGGGGTTGCAGGAGGTATATTATATTATTTTCTCTAAATTAACCTCGAAATCTTATTGTAATTCTCGTATTGTTCTACGAGCCTAACATGATGTTGCAACATATTTTATATCTACAGGGACCTAATATTTTATTAGATGATACACTTCCAACTGAAGTTGACAAGAACTTGCTGGGTGCAGTCAAGGATTCCATTGTTCAAGGGTAAATTATCTTCTTATTTTCATTTTCTGGCTCCAAATTATTTCTTACCAATAATATTTTTATGACATTTTGGACAGATTTCAGTGGGGAGCTCGAGAAGGACCCCTCTGTGATGAGCCCATCAGAAATGTCAAGTTTAAAATAGTTGATGCAAGGATTGCTCCTGAACCTCTGCATCGAGGATCTGGTCAGATGATTCCCACTGCTCGTCGTGTGGCCTATTCGGCTTTCCTTATGGCCACCCCGCGGCTTATGGAACCAGTGTATTATGTGGAGGTAAATGTTTGTTTATTATGTAAATGAATTGCATTTTGAAGAAAGGCTGTATGCAGTTGGCCGCTTCTTTTAACTTAAATGAACTTAAATGCCAGGATCTTGAGAATAAATGGTAGTCTGATCTGTCATTTTCTATTACGTCCTAAAATCTTCTGGTATACATTCATCTCAAAAAGCATCTTCTAGTATACATGCATTTCATTTTGCTGCAGTAGAGTTTCTCAAGGTTATCAAATAAACATAAAAGTATTCCTTTGAAGTCTGAAGAGCATGTGTTTTTTAACCCTGGATGTTGAATTTTTTATGGTGTTACCGAGGAAAAACTGTTTCATTGATGTAGAACTTTTCACTGAAAGATTTTGACTATGATGTTCTGGTTATGTAATTGAGTTGTTGATGTATTTCAGATACAAACTCCAATCGATTGTGTCTCTGCGATCTACACAGTATTATCTCGCAGGCGTGGGCACGTTACAGCTGATGTTCCTCAACCAGGGACCCCAGCTTATATTGTTAAGGTATAGAAAGCTTTGCATGCTGCAGTCCCTTTAAAAATTGTGCTTCTATTACTGATTTTTTTATTGGAGTTTGGACAAGTAATGACTTGACTATTTTGCAATCCTTATCATATTGACTTTCCAACAAAGGCTGATTCTTCTACTTGTGGAGAATCAGTGAAACCATAGTTGTTGAGTTTCTATGTAATGCATTTGCTTGTTTTAGTTGTTGCATTAATAATTTTTGGCCATTGGTTTGCAGGCATTTTTACCTGTAATTGAATCATTTGGTTTCGAGACGGATTTGAGGTACCATACTCAAGGGCAAGCATTTTGCCTCTCAGTCTTTGATCACTGGGCTATAGTTCCTGGAGATCCCCTTGACAAGAGCATAGTTTTGCGGCCACTTGAACCCGCCCCTATCCAGCACCTTGCACGTGAATTTATGGTCAAGACAAGGCGTAGAAAGGTAGAACTCCAATCTTTCCCTTATGCCCCACTCTCTGTCCCTTAGATTCAAAAGTTGTGGTCAAAGAAACCTTTTGTCAGAAAACGCATGAAGACTGTCTTGTCTAAAGTAAATTTGCTTGATTTGAGGAACACAATAGTCTTTCTATAGTAACCAACATTCCTTGATGTAGGATCAATATATTTGTGATGCTACTTATTATGGTTGTTGTTTATGCCAAAAACTTTGCTGCGTTGAGCCAAGTGATGGTAATTGGATTCTTTTAATGTAAGGAGTAAAATTCTAGTTTTCACTCTGGATTTTGCAGGGTATGAGTGAAGATGTGAGCATAAACAAGTTCTTCGATGAAGCCATGGTGGTGGAGCTTGCCCAACAGGCAGCTGATCTTCATCAGCAAATGATATGATGGATGAGAACAAGTTGATATGTTGGTCTTGAGAGCATATTCTATCCATTTCCTTTTGTTAAATCCATCAGGGTGTAAAGGTCATAACAATGTAGTACTTATTGTGAAGCTATTATTTAACTAAACACCACTCACCAGCACTGCCCGCCCATAGCTATCTCAAGTTTCTGCTAGTCAAAACAAATTTTGATTATGATTCTGTAGAGTAGTTGTGTTTGATTCCCTATTGTACAAGGGTTTTTAAGCTAGTCTATTCAGTAGGTGTCCTTTCTTGTTGCTAGTGATGAAGTGTTTCTCAAAGATGGTAGTACATTTTTTAAAGCCGCGCTGTAAACTTTTTTCTTCTTTTTTTATCAATGAGAAGTTTTTATAGTTTAGCATTGAAATTATTTCTATAAATGAACTATAAATATAGATTTTATTTCTAATTATATTTAATCTTTATTGTTGGATCACTGGCTTTTGGGAATTGCAATTAATATGGTTAATTAATAAGTTTTTCTAATTTCTATAAAAAATTGGCAGATTGCAGGAGCCAAATAAAAAAAAACCAATTGCTGTCACAAATCAAATAATCTCTATTAAATTCGATGTGTGCTCAGTGACTTATTCTCTGGACCTTTGAATTGTGTTGTTTAACATGATATTGTTGCTGCTGGTCTTTTCAATGGAATGTCTTTGACCATCATTTGTCACATTGGTGTGAAGCATATGATAGTCATGAGTTGCTTGGTATGATAATTCTGGTTTTTTTTTTATGCACAGGTGAACACAGAGAGGGCTATACGCCATGCAATCCAAGAGCGCCTGCCCATTGTAGTTGTCATCAACAAGGTAAATTTAAATCCAGCTGTGCTCAATTCTAACTTTCAAATTTTATTATGAACTAGTGCTTCATGCCTTAGTGTACCTACCATTTGATTTATGTATTTTTTTCCCTTTGAAGGTTGACAGGTTGATAACAGAACTGAAGCTGCCTCCCAAGGATGCTTACCATAAATTGAGGCATACAATTGAAGTCATTAATAACCACATTTCTGCTGGTTCAACCACTGCTGGAAATGTTCAAGTTATAGATCCAGCTGCTGGAAATGTCTGCTTTGCAAGTGCCAGTGCAGGATGGTCCTTCACTTTGCATTCATTTGCTAAATTATATGTCAAACTCCATGGGGTCCCATTTGATGCTGATAAGTTTGCAGCTCGTCTTTGGGGGGACATGTACTATCATCCAGATACAAGGAATTTCAAGAAGAAACCCCCTGTGAGTGGAGGGGAAAGATCGTTTGTCCAATTTGTTCTTGAACCCCTGTACAAAATATATAGCCAAGTGATTGGAGAACATAAGAAGAGTGTGGAGGCAACTCTTGCAGAACTTGGTGTAACTCTTAGCAATGCAGCTTACAAATTGAATGTCAGGCCTCTGCTCAGGTTGGCTTGTAGCTCAGTTTTTGGTGCAGGCTCGGGCTTTACTGATATGTTGGTGAAGCATATACCTTCTGCCAAAGACACTGCAGCAAGGAAAGTAGACCATATATATACAGGACCCAAAAACTCTATGATTCACAAGGCCATGGTAGATTGTGATCCTTCTGGCCCCCTTATGGTCAATGTGACCAAGCTGTATCCCAAGTCTGATTGCAGTGTTTTTGATGCTTTTGGTAGGGTTTACAGTGGTACAATTCAGACAGGGCAGACTGTACGTGTGTTGGGAGAAGGCTATTCCCCAGATGATGAGGAGGACATGACTGTAAAAGAAGTAACAAAATTATGGATTTATCAAGCTCGAGATAGGATACCCATAAGCAGTGCGCCTCCAGGTTCTTGGGTTCTAATTGAAGGTGTTGATGCATCAATTATGAAAACTGCCACTCTCTGTAATATGGATTATGATGAAGATGTGTACATTTTCCGGCCACTACAATTCAATACCCTTCCAGTGGTGAAAACAGCTACAGAACCCTTAAATCCTAGTGAGTTGCCTAAAATGGTGGAGGGTCTTAGGAAAATTAGCAAAAGCTATCCTCTAGCCATAACTAAAGTTGAGGAGTCTGGGGAGCATACTATTTTAGGTACTGGAGAGTTGTACTTGGATTCAATTATGAAAGATCTTAGAGAGCTTTATTCTGAAGTTGAAGTCAAGGTACTTATTTTCTTATACCACTTTGTTCTTGGAAAAATTTATCTTCTTCGTCTCTGTTACTTTTGACTTAATAGACATGCTCTGTTTAAATTATAGGTGGCAGATCCTGTAGTCTCATTCTGTGAAACAGTGGTAGAGTCTTCATCGATGAAATGTTTTGCAGAAACACCCAACAAGAAAAATAAAATCACCATGGTAGGGAAGCCACTTAATTTTTATTCTGGATCCGGGTGCTTTTGGGAATTGCAATTAATATGGTTAATCTAATAAGTTTTTCTAAATTTCTATAAAAAATTGGCAGATTGCAGAGCCACTGGAGAGAGGTCTTGCAGAAGATATTGAGAATGGTGTTGTAAGCATTGATTGGAGTCGAAAGACACTTGGTGATTTCTTCAAAACAAAATATGACTGGGATTTGCTGGCGGCTCGATCCATATGGGCATTTGGCCCTGATAAGCAGGTAAGATAGATGCTTTACATTTTTTAGGGGTTGCAGGAGGTATATTATATTATTTTCTCTAAATTAACCTCGAAATCTTATTGTAATTCTCGTATTGTTCTACGAGCCTAACATGATGTTGCAACATATTTTATATCTACAGGGACCTAATATTTTATTAGATGATACACTTCCAACTGAAGTTGACAAGAACTTGCTGGGTGCAGTCAAGGATTCCATTGTTCAAGGGTAAATTATCTTCTTATTTTCATTTTCTGGCTCCAAATTATTTCTTACCAATAATATTTTTATGACATTTTGGACAGATTTCAGTGGGGAGCTCGAGAAGGACCCCTCTGTGATGAGCCCATCAGAAATGTCAAGTTTAAAATAGTTGATGCAAGGATTGCTCCTGAACCTCTGCATCGAGGATCTGGTCAGATGATTCCCACTGCTCGTCGTGTGGCCTATTCGGCTTTCCTTATGGCCACCCCGCGGCTTATGGAACCAGTGTATTATGTGGAGGTAAATGTTTGTTTATTATGTAAATGAATTGCATTTTGAAGAAAGGCTGTATGCAGTTGGCCGCTTCTTTTAACTTAAATGAACTTAAATGCCAGGATCTTGAGAATAAATGGTAGTCTGATCTGTCATTTTCTATTACGTCCTAAAATCTTCTGGTATACATTCATCTCAAAAAGCATCTTCTAGTATACATGCATTTCATTTTGCTGCAGTAGAGTTTCTCAAGGTTATCAAATAAACATAAAAGTATTCCTTTGAAGTCTGAAGAGCATGTGTTTTTTAACCCTGGATGTTGAATTTTTTATGGTGTTACCGAGGAAAAACTGTTTCATTGATGTAGAACTTTTCACTGAAAGATTTTGACTATGATGTTCTGGTTATGTAATTGAGTTGTTGATGTATTTCAGATACAAACTCCAATCGATTGTGTCTCTGCGATCTACACAGTATTATCTCGCAGGCGTGGGCACGTTACAGCTGATGTTCCTCAACCAGGGACCCCAGCTTATATTGTTAAGGTATAGAAAGCTTTGCATGCTGCAGTCCCTTTAAAAATTGTGCTTCTATTACTGATTTTTTTATTGGAGTTTGGACAAGTAATGACTTGACTATTTTGCAATCCTTATCATATTGACTTTCCAACAAAGGCTGATTCTTCTACTTGTGGAGAATCAGTGAAACCATAGTTGTTGAGTTTCTATGTAATGCATTTGCTTGTTTTAGTTGTTGCATTAATAATTTTTGGCCATTGGTTTGCAGGCATTTTTACCTGTAATTGAATCATTTGGTTTCGAGACAGATTTGAGGTACCATACTCAAGGGCAAGCATTTTGCCTCTCAGTCTTTGATCACTGGGCTATAGTTCCTGGAGATCCCCTTGACAAGAGCATAGTTTTGCGGCCACTTGAACCTGCCCCAATCCAGCACCTTGCGCGTGAATTTATGGTCAAGACAAGGCGTAGAAAGGTAGAACTCCAATCTTTCCCTTATACCCCACTCTCTGTCCCTTAGATTCAAAAGTTGTGGTCAAAGAAACCTTTTGTCAGAAAACGCATGAAGACTATCTTGTCTAAAGTAAATTTGCTTGATTTGAGGAACACAATAGTCTTTCTATAGTAACCAACATTCCTTGATGTAGGATCAATATATTTGTGATGCTACTTATTATGGTTGTTGTTTATGCCAAAAACTTTGCTGCGTTGAGCCAAGTGATGGTAATTGGATTCTTTTAATGTAAGGAGTAAAATTCTAGTTTTCACTCTGGATTTTGCAGGGTATGAGTGAAGATGTGAGCATAAACAAGTTCTTCGATGAAGCCATGGTGGTGGAGCTTGCCCAACAGGCAGCTGATCTTCATCAGCAAATGATATGATGGATGAGAACAAGTTGATATGTTGGTCTTGAGAGCATATTCTATCCATTTCCTTTTGTTAAATCCATCAGGGTGTAAAGGTCATAACAATGGAGTACTTATTGTGAAGCTATTATTTAACTAAACACCACTCACCAGCACTGCCCGCCCATAGCTATCTCAAGTTTCTGCTAGTCAAAACAAATTTTGATTATGATTCTGTAGAGTAGTTGTGTTTGATTCCCTATTGTACAAGGGTTTTTAAGCTTATCTATTCAGTAGGTGTCCTTTCTTGTTGCTAGTGTTGAAGTGTTTCTCAAAGATGGTAGTACATTATTTAAGCCGCGCTGTAAACTTTTTTCTTCTTTTTTTATCAATGAGAAGTTTTTATAGTTAAGCATTGAAATTGTTTCTATAAATGAACTATAAATATAGATTTTATTTCTAATTGTATTTAATCTTTATTGTTGGATCACTCTTTTATTTAGGTAAAATGGGGCTCATATATATAAAATACATAAAAGAAGTTTAACACGGAGAGCCGGAGAGGGGCGTATGGTTGAAAGTTTCTCCTGTCTTGAGTTATATTTGTACCGAGGGGTGGTTATTAACCGTATCTTTAAAAAAAAAAAAAAATTAATACCAAATTAAATTAAAAAAAAAGTTCTATATATAAACTATATTGCAATTAATTTTTTTATGAATTTTGGCGGATAAAAAATGAAAAATAAAATAGTTGAATATTCCTCCATGTATATTCATGAGCTCATTCAACAAATCAACTCCCAAAATTGATTTATAAGCAATAGCCACCGACCTCTGTTCGGATTCAGACATGAACACACTCAAATCAAAATCAAAACTTGTTTCAGATTCAGATTCTTACTTGTCTTAAAATCACTTTCTTCGCCAACAAAACCTTGGATCGAAGATGGTTCAACCCCAAGAACCCGTGAAACTATCACCAGGTTTCAGTCTTTTCCCATCTCTAAAACCCCCGAACAAAACCCTTTTCTTTCACCAAAGCACAGCTCTTTTCGTCACCTTTTTAGCGTATGCTTCCTTTCACGCCTCCCGTAAACCCCCCAGCATTGTCAAGAGCGTTCTTGGCCCCACTCTTCAATCCGATTCTGATTCTGGGTGGGCCCCTTTTAATGGCCCTCATGGTACTCATAGGCTTGGTGAGCTTGACTTAGCATTTCTTACTTCTTATTCTTTAGGCATGTATTTTGCTGGACATATTGGTGATAGGATTGATTTGAGATTGTTTCTTGTTTTTGGAATGATGGGAAGTGGTTTTTTAACTATTCTTTTTGGTTTAGGTTATTGGTTTAGTGTTCACTTGTTGATTTATTTTGTGGTTGTGCAAATCTTGTGTGGATTGTTTCAGTCAATTGGGTGGCCCTGTGTGGTGGCAGTAGTTGGGAATTGGTTTGGGAAAGAGAAGAGAGGGTTGATCATGGGAGTCTGGAATTCGCATACATCTATTGGTAACATTATTGGCTCTGTTGTGGCATCTGGGGTTTTGGAGTTTGGTTGGGGTTGGTCATTTGTGGTGCCTGGAATTTTGATCATTTTTGTTGGGATTTTCGTGTTTTTATTTCTTGTTGTGAGGCCTGAGGATTTGGGGTTTGAGACTACGGGAAAAGAGGTTGAGATGAACGTGGAGAATGAGGAGAAATTGGAGAATGAGGAAGTGGGACTTCTTGGAACGGAGAGTTCAGATTCTTTGCAAGCGATTGGCTTCTTGGAGGCATGGAGGTTGCCTGGTGTGGCACCATTTGCGTTCTGTCTTTTCTTTTCGAAGCTTGTGGCTTACACTTTCTTGTACTGGTTGCCATTCTACATACGGCACACAGGTACTTCTTTCTACAGAAACGTGAATTTAAGCTTGTGAGATTTAATTTTATTGTTGCTTGATGATATCTCTCAAGTGAAAGGCATCATTGAACTTTTATTTAGTGGGAAAATACCTTGTCTGGAGTAAGGATCAAGTAGAAAATTACTCCCATAGGCACAAATGATAAGTTTAAATCTCACAGATAAGATTATGCAAAACTTGTTTTATCACTTAGTTGAAGTAATACCGAAGCTCTTATTAGTTGTTCATCAAGATGATGCATATGTTCGATAAAAGTTATTTAGATACCTGAGCACCTTCATTTCTTTGGAATTTGTTGAAAAGGTCTCCAATTAGTAAAAATGGTTGTGGCAATGCTTAAGCTTTCTTCGATTGCTCCATTGTAGTTGATCCATTTGTTGCTTAAAATTCTTTGGATACCAAAAAACACTTCATTAATAACTTTTGTTGGAATGACAGCTGTTGCTGGTGTACATTTGTCACACAAAACTGCCGGGATACTTTCTACTATATTTGATGTTGGAGGAGTTTTTGGTGGAATTCTGGCAGGATTCATTTCTGATATGATTGAAGCTCGTGCAGTTACTTCAGTTGCATTCTTGATACTATCAATTCCAGCCCTCGTATTGTACCGGGCTTATGGAAGTCTGTCTATGATCACCAACATCGCATTAATGTTTATTTCTGGGTTGCTAGTGAATGGGCCTTATGCACTGATTACAACAGCTGTTGCAGCTGATCTTGGCACGCAAGATTTAATTCAGGGGAATTCCCGAGCGTTAGCTACTGTGACTGCCATTATAGATGGTACTGGTTCTGTTGGGGCAGCTCTTGGCCCTCTTTTGGCTGGGTATATTTCCACCCGGGGATGGAATAGTGTCTTCTTAATGCTTATTGTTGCTATTTTCCTGGCGGGGTTGTTCTTGATTCGTGTTGCAAGGGCAGAGATTAAAGGGAAGCTAGGTGAGGGAAATAGGCTTTGGAACAGCATAACTACACAGTGATGGACGATGCTTGAAGTTTTCTTTTGTATATTTTTGTACCACATTAGAAAACGGATGTTATATTTAGAAATCTGCGAGGCCCTTATACGTGTATTTGTATTACATTCTTTATACACTATTCTATTTGCTTGTACATTTACAGGAATTATATTTGATACCTGTTATTTTTTATACCTGAGTGGGTAGATTATTATTTTGCCAAACCTCAGGGGAAACTAAAAGTAATAACATAGTATATCATTCTTTTGCCATAAGTTGCAATGAGATGGATATGGCGATGGCGATGGCAGAGCAACTCAAATGCTCTACTTTAAAAACATAACTTGTTCGGGGATCTTTGGTGTTAGAACAATCAACAATCAAACAACTCAAAATATGTACAAATTAATTTATATACATGAAAGTAATGATAATACAACATTCTTATTATTCTTATAATTCACAGTTTTGGTATTTGTCTAAAGCTCTTTCTATTTCCTTCTGTTTATAAGACGACAGAAAAAGATTGTTACTATTTCCCCTATGAATTTATACTCACAAACAAATTCAAGGAAAGGGAGCAGCTAGAATATTATTATTAACTAGTCCTCTCTCCTTTGGTTACCATTACCAAATAGCCAAATTGCAAGCAAATATTCTAAACTTCTATCCTTCTAACAGGCATCTGATATTTTGAAGCGCCTGAGCTGAAATGCTTCTATGAACTTTTGCCTTTTGTACAACCACATTAGGAGGTGGCTCCAAGTGAAAACTCACCATAACAACTGTCAGATTGTCTCTCGATCCTCGCTTTTTTGCTTCCCCCACTATTTCCCTGCAGCATAACTTCAAGTCATTATGCTCTTGGAGCCTCCTCCTGGAAAAATCTACTGCATTTTGACTTGAAAACACATCCCATATTCCATCACTACCAATGATAAGAAATTCATCCTCATTGGTCAGTGTTACTAATTTTAGTTCTGGTTCAGCGCTTAAGGGTCCACCCCTTCCACCCATTTCCTTCATTCCTTCAAGGTGCCAATCACCTAAGGCACGTGTCACACCTAGCTGACCATTCAAGTAATCATCATCAACATATCCACCCAAGGACTCAACACGGATCCTTTCTATTTTGCAGCAAGGTTTGTGATCCTTAGACAGTTCTACAGCTGCTCCACGTCGGGACAGTACTGCCCGGCAATCCCCTGCGTTTGCCACAAGTAAAGACCTGCCAGAGGACGATCATCTTTTATTCAGACTAATTATAAAGTATGAATGTGACTTGAAAAGCATGAATTGAATATGTCTGTATTAGTATCAGGATTGTCAGAGAAGATAAAAGAAAATTTACTGAGTCTCTAGATAGATTCAGCTTTCAAAATCCATTGAACTAATGTACTTACACCAAGTTGCACAGTGCCCTTTTCAGGTATTTTTTTTCCTTTTCGAACACAACACAGTTCATTCTGACACCCCAAAAGAAGATTTTAGACATTGAAACTTCAGAAAGAAGCTTGGGAGAAGACGCTTACCTTCCAAATATCATAGCAGTAAGTGCAGTTGTGCCAGAAGGTTCAAGTGGGCACGACTTCAAAAATGCAGCATCAGTCTCTATAAATGACCTTGTGACCACTTTCTCAAGTTCTAGAGGGAAATCAGCATCCTCAACAATGACCCTAGGCAAATGGTCACGGACGAAATTTGCTGCACACTTTCCTCCATGCCCATCAAATACCTGCTTCCCAAAGCAATTTGATTTTTATGTCAGAATGAGAATCCAACTTTGACAGTACTAATATCCATACGTGTTCATTGGCTTTGTTTACCTTTCATTACTAAATTCAATGAATTTTTAATAAAATTGTTTCTAACTGCATAAACTAACTTGACAGCTAGTCACCTAGAATCAGAACAAAAATCTTTTAACAAAGAAAAAAGAGAATGAAGATTCTGCAAACCATGGAATTAGAGATCTAGAGTATTATTTTCCTTCTCTTTTACCTTATAATACTTGTAGCTTCAAAGTTGGTCATCATTTCCATATAGAAAACAGGTTAGTGTTGGAGTTATTAACCAAATTAGTGCAAAACAAATCTAATTTAAAACCATTCTGTTTCGCTCATCCTCTTTTAGATATAATAGAAACTAACAACAAAGAGAAATTGTTGTGAAGTGCTGAAACAAAGGAATTACGATCAGACAGTACAGCAAACAAACAGCATAATTGGACAACAACTTACCCCATAGAATGAAACAGCTTGTTCTCCACTGAGTAATTTAGAACCAAACTTCATAGCCAAGTTACTTATGCATACATGAGTGTCCTCCATATATGGACGCTTACCAATGTCAGACCACTCTCCAGACCGCAAGGTAGGGAAAAAGTTTGTAAAATGGTTCTGTTTTCTTTCCATGGTAACTGTATCCTCACGAACGCTTTCCAGCTGAATGAGTAACAAAGATATAAAACGAGAATCAGATTAATAATAAGTTTAGAAGAAATTAGCACAACTTCGGAAAATGATCAAACTTGAGGAAAGTTACTAAATGTTAGTAAATGAGGTAAGGAATACCTGGACACACGTATGAGAATATTTCAGTTGGAACCCACAATTTCTAAGATGTTGGAATTTAAAAGCAGAACAGAGGACAAAACTAAATGACAATTTAAGATTCTACATATGTCAACTGCTAGATTTTAGTCGTCCTCACCTTCAGGTTTACTTTTAGTTGGAACCCACAATTTTTACGATGTTGAATTAGACTGACTTGTAGTTAACTCTCATGATTATGAATTATTAAAGTCTTTCTCCTTTGATATTATGTAAAAAAGAACGTACTAACGCTTATCATGGAGCAATTGCGTCTGAAAGGCATTTGATTCGGAAATATATTTCAACCGCTACATCCAGAGAACAATTCAATTTTCTTTAAGATTATAATGTTAAACAACTATACTCCAAGTCAAATAAAAATTCAATCCTTGTTTCCAAGCTACACATGAGTAATCAGAATATGGAAGCTGAGGCAAGAAAAGGATTCTGGAAACAGCCCGAGATCCAAAGCAGTTTTATGAAGGCACTGATCCTTTGTGAGAAAAACAAACCATATCATGTTATAATTCAGTTCTATCAGTCACTCTTTTAATCAAGTTTTAATTGTTAAAAACCTTTTAGATATAATCTTAAAGGGCATGGTGAAATTAAGAAAAGTTGCAGATGAAGCTCAGAATGATTCTGAGCCAGAAAACTACAGAGCAACAACAAGAACTGCTAAAACAACTCATCCAAACAGAAAAGAAACTACTTCTAAACAAAAACAAAGCTCGTGGGTTCAAACCATCCAAACATGACTAATTAGCTCATCACAAAGCTCAAAGTAAAGAAAAAAGATGAAATTGAGATAAAATAAAGAAGACTCACAGGAAATGAATTGACAGAAGAGTTGTTCTCCGAATTCTCCATCTGGGTATCTAAAACTCGCAATGCAAAGGCCAAGAAGTGGTCTTGTTGCTGGTGGTGTTATTGTTATCGTCACTGTTACTGTTGTTATCCAATTGTTGCACAACTTGGTTTGCATCCGGAAGACACATGATGATGATGAGGTTGTTATGCTGTGAATGTTGATGTTGATGATGTTGTAAATAAAATTAATATAAAAAGTTTGAGTTGTAAATTGGTTTTAGTATGGAAGGAGGAAGAGCAAGTTGCAGGTATCCAAAGTAACACAAGTAGGAGAAGAGAGAGAGAGAGAAATAATCAAAAGCAAATGATGGTGTTGTTGTGAATTGAAGAGAAGATTCTTGAGATAAACCAACGAGTAGTTGAGATTGAAAGACAGATTTTTTAATAATAATAGCCATCAAAGTCCAGATTTTTCTATCAAAAACGTGGCTCTAAATGAAAATATCATCTCACTTTCTTTTCTATATTCTTTTTCAATGCTTTTGGTCTTCCTCTTACACTTTTTTGGAAACCTTTTTATTTCTCCATTTTTCAATGATATCTTTTCTTTCATTCTTTTTTTCTTTTTTATTTATTTTTATTTTTATTTTCAACAGTAAATTGGGTGATATATATAAGTCCTTATCTCTTGTAAACGATTACTAATTAAACGATTGACTAATATTAAAAGAAAAGAATTATTATCATTTTATGATTTTTTTTTTAATAAATTAGTGCATAAATATATATCTCTCTTTTTCTTTGTGGAATTTATTTATTATTTGAAGTTTCTAGAGAGATTTGATTTATTTATTTTTTATTATTATTGTTTGTTGTGTTTGAAAAAGAATTATGTTATATTATAATAGTGTATGACATGAAATTTCAACCTACAATGTATGTCATGGGAATTTAAAGTTTCATAACCCCAATACATTATCAAGGGAAGCAAGAAGAAGAAGAAACAAAATTGAAGTCTACTGAATTATTAAATTAATCGTATAAAAACATTCCAAGAATGGAATATCTTCAATCAGTCATAGTTCAAGTGGGGTGGTGTAAAATTTGAATGGTAATAATTGAATCAAAAGATTTGAAAGTGAAATTCTAGGCATTTGACTAAGTAGTGTGAACAGAAGAAAATGCTTTCTTGGGAAGTTGATGAAAGAAAAGCACTTTTATTTATTAAAAGTGATGAGTCATCTCACCATTCACCAATCTTCTCTTTTGCTTTTGCTTGTTCTTGTTCTTCAAACTTCCAACAATGGCCTCAAAGTTCAATTATAAAGGTGCTTCTTTTCTTCTCCAACCATTCAATTCATCTTTGTTATGGTAAAGCAAAATATCACTATTTCCACAATTTGTCAAATAGTTCAAAGTTTATCTTAAAGAAACAGCAAGTGGTTAAGATTATATTATCCAAACCTTTAATCAAAGTCCATACTGAAAGCTGATTTGATTTCACTTGTCATAATGTAATAAAAACGAAAGAATAAAAAACAAACCAAGATACCATTTTGAGAAAAGGAAAAGGATTGGTGAAACATTCAAACCCTTGTCTTGATGTTACTAGCACTGTAGATGATGGAGCCAAAAGGAGGGTTAATGTAAAGGAATGTTGAAACGTGCACTATGGAAAGACCAAATATTGGAGTCTGATGTGGCTTGTTACTATCCAATACATGATATTTAGTGCAAAAATCTTCAATTAGTGCCCAACAATTTGCCACAATTATGTCTTTTGCAATGTCATGTAATTTGTTTATTACCCATTTGCCCATTTGTGCTCCTAGATTTTTCTTCTTGCTTTTTTGGGTAATGTGATTATTCCTTCTAGGCTCTATTAGTCAAGATTTGCCTTATCCCAACCCAACTGCTACCAACAATTAACATTTTCTCTTTTGATAGTAGGATAAGGAGAGTTCTTAGATGGCAATTCATTATCATTCTCAAACTATATTTGTCCTAACATAATCATAGTGACATTATTTAGAACACAAATTGGTTTCTTGGGAAATAGTCATCGTTAGCACTAAATTCCCTTATAGAAAAGATCAACATCAAAGTATAAGGATTTAGTTTGCAAAAGCAAAGAATAAAGTGACTTTGTTTTAGTAATTTGGATAGTATTTTTGAAAAAGTAAGAGTTGTGTGGTAGTAACGAGATATAATTTAAAAATTAACAAAAACACCCCTTAGGTTTGTTAATTTACTAAAAACATTGAAATTTACAAAAACACTCTCACCTACTTATGAAATACTGGTAGTCAGCCACCACCGCCGGAGGGTGGTTGGAGTCGCCGTATCAACCCACGACCAGTTAGATCTGACCGATCGTGTGCTGAGATGACCTTTTTTTAGCTAAATCCACCATGAATCTGGTCGGAAGAGGCCAGATCTACGGCTAAATTTATCTATTGATGGCCAGATCTGGCCGCGTTTGGTCGTCGTTGATGACTAGTTACGACCAAAGATCTAATTGTAGATCTAGCCTTTTCCGGCTAGACCACAACTATGACCAAAGATCTGATCGTAGATCTAACATTTTCCAACCAAATCTGTGGTGGATCTGATCGAAAAATACTACATCGACGCATTACCAACTAGATCCAACCGGTAGTGCGCTATTATACCAAATTCCAACCACCTTCCGATGGTGGTAACAGGAATTTAGCAAATGTAGGTGATAGGAGTGTTTTTGTCAATTTTTAAACATTTTTTTGGGTGTTTAGTTAAATTAACAAACTTATGGGGTTTAAAGATAATTGAATAAAATATAATAGTATTTTTAAAATAAGGAAACAAATACGTATTTTGGAAATGATAAGGGAAAAATTAGGGGTGGGATAAACCGGTTAACCGAACTGGTTTTTTGGTTCGGAGAAAATCCAAACGAAAACCAGGCTGGTTTCGGTTAAAAACCGAATATAAACCGAAACGAATTTTTAGTTCAATTACCGATTAACCAGTTTTCAAATTACCCTTTAATCCTTAAATAGTCAATATCTTTTCAACTATATGCAAGTAATAGCACATCTCCAAAAATGCTTTAACAAAATACCAATATCAAAATCATTTACTAAAACCTCAAAACACCACAATTAATACACCAAAACTGAGACTAGAAACTCAAAACCTTCGATCTGGTTTCAAATTTATCAGTAGAAACTAATCATTCTTCTCTCTCCAAGTTTTCACATAAAAGAAGACCCAAGAAAGCGCTAGTAAACAAAATCATGGAATAAATCTATTTGAGACAAAGTATGAGTATGATGAGTTAAGGATAAGAGTCTGCTCAGTGCTCATAGTGGGTCTGCTCACGCCTCACAGTGAAGTCTGCTAGAGTGCTGGGTGCTGGCGAACGTAGCTCACGGTGTGGATGGAGTAGCTCACGGTGACTAGATAGTGGATGAAGTCAACTCTGCTCAATAGCTCATGGTGGGAAACTGACAAACTGTGAATGGAGTCACGGTGTGGAAGACTGGAACTGCCGACGAACTACAGTCTAGAACTTTAGAAGTGACGAACAAACGAGTGAGGATTGACGAAGTGGAAGTATAGAGATTTGAAATTTTCAAATTTGGAGAATGGAGGCAAAGAAAAACGAATGTGGATGGAGTAGCGTGACTGCGTGAGGACTGATGATGACTGAGGAGTTAAAAAAAAATTTTGCTTTTATATTTAGGGTTAAACCGGTTTAAAAACAAGTTTTCAGTTAACCAGTTTGAATTTGTTTTCAAATCGAAAACCGAACCGGTTTTTTGAATTCCCCAAACCAAAAACCGAACCTATTTGTAAAAAAACCTAGTTTTTTGTTCGGTTTCCGGATGTTTTATCCCACCCCTAGGAAAAATATGGAAACAAATGCACTGTACTTGGAAATGGCACTACTTGATTGAGATCATTTTCATTTTTATGAGTTCCAAATTATAATGTGGTAAAACAGTCCAATTCCCTCAAAAACCTATATCCTATGGACTAATATCACATCACAACATACTTTAGACTTCCATTCAATCAGGGAAGTAATATAAAATTCAAAAGAAAGAAACCTATAAATTAACCCACAAAATTCCAAATTCAAGTAACAAATTGTGTACTAATCTTCAAAATTCAAGATTCCAAAATAATATAAAATGACAAAGAAAAAGGCATCTATCGTTCTATCAATCAGCAAATCTGGAGTGCTTCAAAACTTTTAGGGGTCTTCTCTTCCATAATCAGATCACATTTTAACTCACAATGGTTTCAACACCAACCTAATACAAATCAAGAAAAACTTCACATTCCAGTGAAAGCCTTCTTGCCACCACCAGAAGATCCAGCTGGAATCACTTTCAACACATTGAACCTCACTGTCTTGGACACTGGCCTAAATTTGGAAAAAAGAAAAAAAAAAAGAGAAGAAATCTTGTGAAATGTCAATGCAAAAACTGCAAGACTACCAGCCAAACTACATTCATGCATTAAAGATGATAATAAAAAAGGGCTTTTTTGCTGAGAATTATAACCTGCATTGGCCAATAATGACATGATCTCCTTCCTTCACACGGAAACATGGTGATATATGTGCAGGAATGTTTGAATGCCTCTTTTCATACCTAAAAAACAAAAAGGGCATGTTACTCTTTAAAGCAACAAAATCTAAGGACAAAAATTAAAAAAATGGCATAGACACCCATCACAAACAGAAGCTAGCTCACACCTTTGATATTTCTTCACAAAATGAAGGTAATTCCGTCGAGCAACAATAGTCCTCACCATCTTGGCACTATGGCAGGTACCTGCTAAGATACGTCCTCTGATAGAAACAGTACCAGTGAATGGGCATTTCTTGTCAATGTAAGTTCCTGTATAAAACAAATATATAGTGCTCAACACTTTGGATACTAAATCAATTTTTTGCAATTAACAAGTATTATTTTTATGTAGGCTGTAAACCACAAGAACACAAGTAGATATATCAGCCATGCCAAGCAGAGATTAAACATGCATATAGTCAGAGAGCTTAGGCTAGAGCTGCCAAGTTAAATTCCTAACCACTTAGAAAAAGGTTTCACACATTAATAACAGTATCCTAAAATAATCCACGCATATGCCACTTTAAAAATTATCCACTTGTAAAGCATTTGATTTGTAAAGGTTATTAACTAACCCCTCCAACTTTCTAATTTTTTCTGACCACTATGGGCCAATAGGATACAATTTGGAAACAATTTAACATCCACATGTTTAATAATTTAATAGTGAAAAACTCAAGTCTCCAAAAGACTCATTCAAGACATTTCATGGCTGAGGAAATAAGTAACTTTTGACCAATTGGCACTAAATACTTTTTCAATCTGATCCATTCATAATCCTTTAACCATCAGATACCTCCCATGATAGAGCAAAATCTTGTCGTACATTATAGTAGGGAGACTCCTATAGATGGTAGCAAAAATTCAAGGATTTAACAGCATTGTCAGAAAACCTTGACAACTATAAAGAGGAGGGCTCTTTGTAAATATGCCTTTTATTATATTTAACATGATATAACAAAGAGTCAATATATATTACAAATAATATTGGCTCTAGTGCACCTACACAAATAATTAAATAAGTGTCTTTCTTCCCACTCACCATGGTTAGGAGCTTCGCTAACCCTAGGGCTTCCCTTGGGGTTTTTGTGACTTCAAAAGTTAGATAAGTGTCTTTCTTCCCACTCACCATGGTTAGGAGCTTGATGAGTAATTAACTTTATAATTAAATTTACTTTGGGGTTTTGTTTGAGTTTGTGTTTGTCCTTGGACTCCTAATACATTGCTTATCTCTCCAATTTCCTTTTTTAACTTCTGTAGACAGTTTCCTAACTTTTGCATAGTTCCCCACAAGGCCAAAGTCTTTCCTTCTTATAATAGTAGTTCCCATCATCAAAAATCTCTAGTTGTCACCACAAAGTCAGATCAATACATTTCATTTCTAGTATATTAGTCGCGCTTACAATTCCATAATCATATGACATAGATTAACTCCACAACCACCTAATCTATTTTTCTGCTCAAGAGACATATCATTACACCAACTTACCCAACTATAGGAAATAAAAGTTGATGACATAAAAAAGACATGTGACTGGTTCTCTAAATGCTTCCTACATAAATTGTTGAATGAGCACATTAAGCACAGAAAAAGAAATTGCATCACCCAAGAAGTGCCGTTATTTCATGCACGGTCAAATAGACTTGCTACAAACAAGACACGTAACCAAATACCCAAGTCGCCTATATACTTATATAACATTGCAATATTTACGTAAAAAAGCTAGGCAAACGTAATGCATAAAAATCCAAATCTGAGACGAACATTCAAACAAATTTTTCATTCATTTATCCATTGCTCTCAGTAGTAGTAATCTCCGTGGAGTTTGAAAGGAAGCAAATACCTTCGGTGGCTTCCCTTGGGGTCTTGAAGCCCAAACCAACACTCTTCCAGAAGCGGTTCCCGCCTTTTCCAGGTCTCTTTCCCTTGCCTGATTTCTTCGAGCTGTTACAAACAAAAAAAGCAAAAAAAAAGGCTGAGTAAGCTAAAATACCCAGAAGAGAAAAGCATGTTACATGTTTGTATTGAGCTTCATTTACCATAAAAACACTTTGGGTTGCTTCAAAAATGCCTTCTCCGTCTGCAACAAAAAACACACATGACATGTTATTTTATACTCGAACACAAACATAAAGAAAAAGAGAAAATAGAGATCTGAATTGAACCTGCTCGGCCATGATTGAGAGATGCTGAAGCTTGAAACTGTGAAGCGTATGGAGGCTACGCTAAACTTTCGACAGCTTCGGCTTCACTCACTCAAAACCCTAACAGACCCCACTGGGTTACTTATCAACGCTTCTAAATGGGCTAAATTTGGGCCTCTTTTTGGGCTTCCCATAATCTTGAGACCAAATTATTAATACCCCCTCAGATTTTCCCCAGAACACATACCCCTTTGTTTTCAAAATATCTTACCCCTCCTTTGGTTCAATACTTTCGTTAACACCATAAAGTTGTATACTTTTCAGAAATATCCTTTCATTGAAATTGAAATTGAAATTGAATTTACTTTCAAGATTATTAATATATGTTACCACCCTACGCGGGAATGTCCCGATTTAGGTTGACCGCCTTTTTTGTAGGCCTTTGTAAATTCTTCTTCTTTTAATACAATTTGCTTACTTAGCAAAAATAAAAAAATAAGTATAAGTTACCATTATGGCTTAATGAAATTGAATTTGCTTTCAAGATTGAGGTAAATTTCTTATGTGCTCATGAGAGGTAGTGTTTATGTATTCAAAATAGGCATATAACTCAATGAGAGATTTATTTAATAATTATTATTTTAATTTCAGTATATTTATCATATGTCACATGAGTTTGAATAAACAATGTAATATTTACTCATCATTCAATGTCCATTTCCAGTTAAAAAGGTAGCTTCTAAAATTACAAAAAGATTTACAAAAATCACCCGTTTCACTCTTCTTTTCTCTTTATCATTTTGTTTTATTAATCCATAAATCCTCCAAACCGGCTTTTGTGAAACCAAGTTCTAAATGGGAACTCTTGCCAAACCCTATAATCTTTAAAAAATGTGGAAAAAATAGTCTTTGGTCATGTAGGTGCCATGAAGCCTAACCGCTTTCACTCTTGAAACTTTTGGTCTTTACGGTGTACTCCTACGAGTGAGCTAAAATCCAGGTAGAATTGCACTTCACTAATAATTTCTCTTGATTGAATTTCAAACATATGTAGATTTTGCATTAATTTCCATACGGCCTTCGGAGGCAATCAACAGGATATTAAGGGGCTCCAGAAGGATAAATCAAGTTCAAAGCCATGGAAGCCTATAACATCAAATGACTACTATTTTGCACCGACAGATTACCTATCACTTAAATGAAATCTCACAATATTCCACTTGTGTGAAAAAAGGAAAATAAAACCATAATATACCAATTTTGATCAAACGAGGAATGCCGCCGTTCGCCGGTAGAAGAAATGCATTATTCATAGCTGCTCAAAATCTCAATAACTACTTCCACAAACTGCTAAAATCCTCTTTAGTATCATTACTCACTCCCTCTGCAGTAAGAAAGTCATTGTGTTACTCTACAATTCTGGAAAGTAAACCAGTTACATAGCCAAAAAAAAAAAAAAAAAAGCCTATATGCCTGTATATGCATGTCACAGTGTAACATTCAATCCAATGCAAATAAACATTCTAAATGATGTGCAGTACAATGTACTTCTAGAGAAACCCCTCATTGGTGCCAAAGAGTTCTGGAATGGTATGATATGCTGCATATAACATTCCTAGGTATATTGTGTAACATGTAATATATAATATATAAAACTTCACTACAATCAAACAAGTTATCTAAGAAATGGAACAAATGGAAGCAGAACATGGTCGGTCAAGGGATATAGTATCTTACTATGGGATCTAAATCATGATCAAGTTCACATAGCATTTTCATAGATGTATGATGTCTTAATTTTCCCAAAATTTGATGTTCGATATCAAGAAAACAAAAAAGGATGACAAGGAAAAAGATTGGAGAACTGTTCCACATAGCAGCATTCACATACCTTTTGCCTTTTGGAGTTTGGTGCGCACTGTTCAGAATCACTTGGCCGACGTGATGTCCCAACATTAGAACTCTCAGCCTGTAAAAACATCACAGTTCAGCATCTTCCTCTATTTTTCTTAACACGTGGTTTGTAATGGTGGGTGAGGGGTTGGCATATTAATTAGCCTGACTGCCAAAATTGCAACTCTATGCTAAGCCCATGCTTTACAATTACTGTGTGCATCTAATAATGTATTCAAAAACAACTTTCTGAAAACCAAATAGGGTTTCTCAGATCCTGTTTCTCAAAAAGGTAAAAATTGTCAGAGCCGTTGTCAACACTAATTTTTTAAGAATGAGCAGTGTTTCTTGAATCATCTTATAGAGATACAATACTGAACACATTTTTTCTTTCATGTTGATTTTGAAAAATAGGATCATAACTTCTGAAAATGGTTCAAATGAGCCCTAAGATAACAACAAAAGTTGAATTTGCTTTGACATGAGGCATAAAAAAGCCATTAATAGTGTAATTGGTGAACTATGCTTACATGTGTGGAAGAATCTTGCTCCATTCTACGCTCAGAAGTATCTGCTCCCTCTGAAGACGCTACCATTTGTGCTGCACTTGATTGTTGAGATATGACAGGCATGATCTGGTGAAGCAAGTTAGATAAAAATATCCCTTCATCACTAACACTTGCTTCTGCTTCTGAATGTCTACTGGCTGTAACAGCATGATCTGAGGCAGACATGGTTGCCGGCTCCGGAATAGAACCCGAAGCTGTCCCCTGTAAACTTCCATCTTCTACATGGATTTCGCCACCAGGAAAAAGATTCCTCAGAAATTGCAGAACACTGCTTGGGATTTGCCGCTCAGGTTCTTGGTTGTTTTGGGTCCCACCAGCAGAAAGAATGCTGATATTCACACCACGTCCACTAGAAGGTTCCTGTTGTCTTGAGTTCAAATTTGGTAATGATCCTACGAAGAAAAAACCCATTAAAAAAATTCTTAAAATCAACGATATTGATCAACTAGTACAGAGGGTAATATAGTCCTGAATTCACCAACACTAAATGCAAGGCATGATGAGTGATAGAATTCTGTCTTCAAACACCCCCTCCCTCGAAAAGTTTATAGACCAATTGCAGTTGCTAAAGTTCTATTTTCTGAGCGTTCAAAAGTCTTCAATCAATGATCATTTTGATTGATCCAATCATACATAAGAATGATTTGATAATAACAACAGGCTCTCTTGCAAAGTTGTTTGAGCAATATATTCAAGTGTTATGACACAATCCTGTCAATTCATACTCTCTTCTGTAAGCAATAAGCACTTCACATGCAGCAACATTGGATGATAGTTGATAATTTCAAGTCACGAATGTCTAGACCATAGGATACCAGTGAAAAATACCCTCTGATTATATTATTTAGATGAACAGCAACTATAATTATTATAAGGCAACAATAGCATCAGCAATAGTACAGGCACACATAAACATAAGAACAACATCAAAAACTATTAATAATCAACAATAAACCTCTTTATGCTTCCTAAACACTACCAGAAAGAAAAGTTTATAATGTAACCTTAATTTCTCATGAAATAGTTATCATCATTACTATGCTAGACTTGGTGATTGTTTTAGTACCATTTCTTGCAGGATCCTCACTGTTTTGTGGCTGCACCACAGACTCAGGAGCGGATGGCTGCTCAGTTTGCCCACCAGATGCTTGAAATCCTCGTTCACCAGTTACATGTCCAGAAGCTAAATGTTGAAATCTTCCAAGAACCGGATAGTATAACCCTACAGGATTACCAGATAAATCTGAGGGTAGCCGACTGAAAGGACCAGGCACTGCTGCTACCATGGTCCTAATCGGCACTACCCGTACTCCAGATTCTCCAGTGAAAGATGAACCCTCCGAGATCCTTGAAGTTCTTTGATTGCCAAGATTTTCAGTAGCAGGAGCTGTAACTGAGTTACCTTGCCCTGAAGGCTGCTGAGTATTACCATGTTCTTCTCGATTAGCGTTAGAAGTTGCCATTGATGATCCTTACAATAGTGCAAATAATAGTTTAAAATATATCATTTGCAGAACTTATGTTGGAAAATATGGGTATCAGACACTTGTGGACATGACACATCCATTTGTGCTTGATGTTCACATGAACAGTTACAATGAAATTCACTTCCATCTATCAGGTGAAGAGTGTATAATTGTGAGGGTGGTACTGTGCTTTATAGGCAAGAAACTGAGACAGATTGCTATTCAGTGATAGATGAAGTCGATGATTTTAATCAAGGAAATATGTTGATTTCCATAAATACACACATACACTAATATTCCTTTGTCCAGATTTTTGGGAGTTATGTTCGACACCCCATGCTGGTATGCACAAGGTGAAGATTTATGTACACAAAAAAGCAGTAAAGAGTCCAGGCATAAAACTCAAGAGTACCTCTTCTTATTTGTATATCAATACGCCTTGGAAGAAACCCAGTACCACGCCCGTTAACCAAACCAGTGCCAGACTGTACAGACCCCATGGGGATGGAACCAAAGCTTGTTCCCGGTTGGAAAGGAAGAGGCTGGAGATATAAATTCAACTATCAGCAAAAACTGAAAAAAAAATTTAAGCAAACAAGAAGAGTTTAATAGAATGATGAGAATATTACTTGAACCATGAGAGGGTTAGGACCAGAAGGAGATATGAAAACAGCAGGACCAGCGTTAACCACAGCTTCAGACTGCAAAGAAAGGTGTCATGGCAAATAAGTGGGCAAGTAATGTAAAACTAAGATGTCATGAATTGGAAACTAGGATGGTCATACCGGAATTTGACCTAATCGCACAGTCATGGTTGTACGACCAAGTTCAAGCAAAAAAGCACCTAGATTATGAAGTAGAACTCCAGTTCTCGATGCAGTAGATTGTGTGCTCATCCGTACAGATGAATCAGTCACATTTGCCTGATTCTCCAGTTGTCCACCAAGTTGCTTCCAGTATATAAAAAGAAAATAACAATTACTTCAAATCTAGCATATAATCAAATATTTAGAGGTAACTCTAAAAGCTTATAGTTCTTATACAAATTTCTTGAAACACAAAAAAAAAATAAACATAAAAATAACAGTTTCTCACTTCAAAGAAAAAAGTATACTCACATGACCATTAAATATATAACTTTAATATGAAAAAAAAAAGGACTTTATTCGCAACATCAATGAATAAATAACTTTAACATGAAATAATAGAACAAACAATCAAAAAGGTAGATAAGAACACACAAGCAGGCACTCTCCAGCTTGTTCAACGAGCATTTGTCTAGTGGACAGCATGACTTCTGCCAAAGATGCAGGGGTTGGAAGACCTTCGTGTACAGTCCCTGAATGTGATGCAGAAGTAGAATCTCTTTCTCCAGTCCTATCTGTGGCGGTTCCTTGAGAATTGTTACTCCCTCCCCTGCCTGCCAATACAATGTGTTGCAAAATATCAACAAAGAATTACAGGAATAACTACTTAGCATAATAAATTTGGTTGCTGTAATATAGAAAACAGACCAATTCCGTCTAATTCGCGCCTTATATTACTCAGATATTGGGACAAGGTTGTCAATGAATCAGGAATTACCTACAAAGAAAAAAAAATGTTGCAGAATATATATCATTATCCCAAATATGTATGCCACAATATCCATTTGACATAGAATGACAAAAGTTAAAGCAGACACCGAAAGATGAAAATTTTGATCAAGCAAACCAAAAAATTTCAGGCTTACAGGAGGCTGCAAAGACCCCAAAGAAACTGCTGTCGGGATTCCAAAGGCACTCTGCAGTCTATTTGATATCCTCATGCCAGCTTGTTCATATTGCTGCTGAGTTGAATCTAGCATACCACTACCAACTAATGTTCTTTCAAGTCTTTGCAAAGCAGGTTCCTTCAATTAAATACACCCCCATCCAAAAGAGTATGAGAATAAAAATGTAGACATATATGAACCAAAAACAGACACTAAACAACAATAATTACTATGACTCAAATTTTTACAAGATCACCAAGAAACCGTCAACATATCCACCTATCAAGAAACTATCAAAAAATAATTACTATGATGGTTCTTTCGTCAAGAGGGGGTAGAGAGGGGAGTGACAGATACACAGCATATTAATTATAAATTAAGACCGGCAATAGCAGACACACAATATTTCTGACAGGCAATCAAAAGTCTAACAATTTCTGGCAGTTGAAATTATGACTAACCCTGACATCAATCCCATTACTACCACCTCCAATATTTGAAAATCCAAAAGAACCAAGAACAGCTGAGACAATCTGCCCAGAAGAAAAGAGGAGCATTGAGACACTGGCACAGTGAGATATAAAACAACCAACATGAAATCCAAAAATATGCTCCACTCCAATCCAATTGTCATCTCACCTGACTGATTTCAGGGGGAACCCCATCCCCTTGATCAGGAACATTGAAAGTTTCAATTACAACACTAGGGGCTACCTGATTTCCATGATTGCGACTTGTACCTGATGCAAGTTCAATTGCAACAAACAATGGTGTTTAGCCGTAAATCCTTACTAGTTATTAGAGAAACTATTAATCAGAAAAGTCTTACCTTCACTTAAATATTATCAGCATGACAAAAATTGAAACAGCACTCAAGTTACAGATGCACCATGAATTAAAGAGGATGATATACAATAGAAAAGTCTTTTTTTGCAAATGATAATCAATTTGAAAGGTAAAAGCAGTCAAGGGTGCTAATGAAGCACATAGAGAAGCAGAGAAGAGAAACCCAATGCCAAAAGAAACCAAAACACAAAAAAATTAAATCTAGTTCAAAAACTTGAGATGACCCACCCAAAGGTTCAATGAGATGGAACATCATAAAACAATTCAAAGAAATATTAACTGACATAGATTGCAGAAACATAAGATGTAAGGTATACATAGGAAGCTCAATGTCGCGGGAAGTACAATCCTTCCCCTTACACAATGTAACTGCTCTCCACAGTTTTTTACTCCTTTGCTTTCATAAGCCACAACTTTAGCAACCAAGCATTTGAACCAAAGATGTTGGCATCACCCAACATATCATAAAATTTATGAGAGATCACAACTATATTATCCGAACCATACAGCAACAAACGAGCACCATTTCACCAATATATTTCAACACACAAAACACAATTCCACAATGGTCTTTTTCCTCTCAATCAGAACATCTACTTTTAAGAAACTATCCGATATTCCCCATTGACAACGTCCAGCTGAAATATCCCACCTTAAATGGCTAAAAAGTCTTCCAAGGAAAGAAGAAACTAATCTAGCCCTCAACAACAGATCTATGACAGAAGCTTGACCGTTATTGTATCTAATCTCATTAGAATCAGAATAAGTAGCTCCTACATGATCAATAGAAAAATTCAGCAAGTGGACAAACCTGGATGGTGATGACCACCATCGGATGAGGATGGGAATGGTTGCCTGACCACCATGTGCAAGGTGTGACCATCCTCAACATCTAAATCAAGTTAAGTAAGAAACTTAAATGTAAATGCCAAGTATAAAATGATACTGAGAATACTCATAACTGTAATATAATATACATTTGGCCGGAGGTAGGAATACAAAAGTTTATTGGCTGTAGATATCATCTTGAAACTAGTATAAATCCTCAATTCAACATGGCTCAATTTCACCAACCGACCAAACAACTACTATTACTAAAAGATATAAAAAATGAAAATTCTTTCACTGACAGTAAAAATTGCCTCTTAGTAGGAAATTTAAGTGAAGTCATGATCAACAGGCTATCAACCCCAGCATTTGTAGCCAATCTTTAATTCTCTACCTTCAAAGAGAAAGGTCTAGGGCCCAACCCAAGGAATAGTAGGAGGCGGCTGCCCCAATAATGTTGCTAATTATGTGGTTGAGCAAGGGTTCTCAGACCTGGAACATAATTGTAGTATGAACCATGAGAAAGCAGGTAAACAAATCACCACAAACAGCAAAAAACGATACCACAGTAATGGGCTTATATTTCTTATACAGATTGCCTAATGAGAAGATCACATGTAACCAAAATATTATATCTTTGCCAACAAAAGATTAGGGATGAAATGGAAAGAGAACCTTTAAGTTATTGGTGCATTCTCTTTTGGATGCAAAATGTAGAACAACAATAACTAAGGTCTTGAAACTCGAAAGATAAATAAGAAAAGGATACGATATGCAGAGAGGAGCTGATCATCCTTCAGAACTTTTCCACGACATATTAGACGTTGTTGCTCAGATAAAACACCAGTTACAGAGGCAATCTGTTCTTTCAAAGCAGGAACTGGTACCTGTGGGAGAAAAAGACATTAACAATACGGTAATGCTGATAGAGAAGTCAGAACCAAAATCTCTGCAAGGGTAATATGTATAAAATGATAATATTACTCAAAAAACAATTGTACAAATGCAGCGAGCAGATCATACATATGATCAATTTCATAGCTCGAAAGATATTGATTTTCAAAAAACAAGATGACAAGGTTTGGAAAATTGCTAGAAGTACAACAATATATATATGCTTATAGTCCAACCAAAGAAAAGACTGTACTAAGAAAATCGAGTGTTGCCTGATAAAAGCTCAAACAAGAACTTTAAGTCACGAATTCATGGAAAAAAATTAAACTTGTTTTAAACAAACAGATAAAGTAACACAAGGCCAGAACTTATAATGACAACAGAGCAATATTAATCACCTGTTTATCAACTCTCAAAGTATAGGTTTGTGAGTCTAGAGTTTTTATTTTGATTTCGATGGTGGTTTCAGAAGCTTCAACCTCGTTAATCCCAGGAATTTTTTCAGCACCACTACTTTCCATTTGCTGCAAACTGTGCAGGTACCCAGTGAAGAAACATTGTCCAAACTATTCAGTACACATCAAAGAAAATACAATGAAAAGAAATATGTTCCTGTACTTCAAATCCTCTATACGCTTTATGCATATTTAGATTTGAAAATACAAAAAACACAAGTGGCAACAAGAAGTCAAAGGATGAATCATGAATGCTGCACTACATGGTACTCCGAAATCATTTTCATTTTGCTTTCCAACTAACAAGAGAATAGAAATTGCTAGTTCGAAAAGGTAAAAGGGGACTACTTTCAAAGTCATTTAAATAAGTTAGCCATGAACAGACATTCACTTGTAATCATTCTCTTCTTTAATGAATAACATAGCTTGAGTAGAAGCAAAACGTTGAGGGCAAAAAAGTCGATCTCTTAGGTCTGTAAAGTCCAAAATTCCGTCCTTGTACGATCAAAGTTCTATATGCATACAGCAACTCTCCAAAAATCGAACTTGCTTTTCAGCAAACCAGACAATAAATTTGAATCCAAGACCCAATTCAAATCACTAACTCTCCAAGTAACTTAGAAATTTCAAGCTAATCATAAACCACAACAATCACAACCCCAATTTCCAATTTCCAATCTTTGAGAACCTCAACACACATTAGCCCACTGGAAGAAACAAGTAAATAATCATATAAAGAAATCTACGCAAATCCATTAGACTAAATTGAAGTGAACAGCCCTAGGGTTTTACCACACAGACCCAAAATGAAAAGGAAAAAAACCCCACCAAAATTCCCTACCTTTAAGTTAAACCCAGATGACAATCACTAAAACTGATAAAAATCAGAATTGAGATTAAAACGAAGTAATTGAGTGACCAAACCTTACCTGCGATCAAAGACTAAAACTTTCGAGATTTACGAGGAGGGAGAAGAAAGAACACAACCAAAACGAAACACCGGTGGCAGTGACGACGGTAACGGTGTTGTGTAGTGAGTTTAAAGAAGAGGGGTGAGGTTGTGCTCAGGCTTCTCTCTGCAGTTTGAGCGTGGCAGGCAATTGGAGGAGGAGGGAAAGTTTACGATGCCATTTTGTGGTTCTTAACACTAGTGGTTTACTTTCTTTATTAACCGTTGGATTAAAATGTTGTTAAAAGATAGGTGAATTATATTAATTAATTCAATATATTATTTTATATAATTCTATATTAAAAAATAAATAATGAAATTAAATATTCAATTAACTTTAAAAGATATTAAACAATTATTAATTATTTGAAAAATTGTACGTACGTACAATCAATAATACTATTGAATTCTCCCACAAACTCGAATACGTTTATTACCTAATAACTGTGTGAGTATAAGAGTAATGATATGCGTACTCACGGATCTTACTAACCTTTGTTAAAATTACATATAATACTCGTACTATGTTTATGGTACCCGTACTATGTTTTATATTTACAAAGGTTAGTACGATGGTTAGTACACTCGTAAATATGCATAGTATTATTTATGAGTATAAATTGGTGATTCCATTAATTGAAATTGAAAATATTTGATCTAATAAAGCAATGTTAGGATAATACCGTCTATGGAAATATTAATTATAATAATAGTAATATATATAAAAAAAAGAAACAAAGGCTCTCAATTTATTCATAATTTCATATAAGCTTAAATGATATTACAATATTTATTGAACAAGAAAATAGAATATCATATATTTGTTCATGGTGCATGTAGATTCATAGGTCCTGTTCTTATTTTTGTGCACTTATTTTAATTATGGTGTGGAGGACTTGCATGTGCAGGAGAATAATCAACCCCGAACCCTTGTATTTCATCATCTTCTGTGTCATGCTTTTCTCTTTGATTCACTCTTTTACCACCTGATAATTCATCTGTGTATACAAGAAGTAAATTATGTTAACCATGCAATCTTCATATATTATCAAGAACAAAATTTATTCTAAGCTTGGATAATTAACAATATACCTGAAAAAAGCAATCTGGATAGAGTAATATCTCTAACACCGATACTATTACTTGTTTGCGTCGAAGAAGAACCCTCCTATACTTACAAAAAACAATTATATATTTAGCATTTCAAAATATGCAAATTAAATGCAGTAATTTTCGTATATATAATTACCTCCCTGACTGATGTAAATCCATTGATCCAGGGAGCTCGAATTCCTTCAACATAGTTAATAAAATAAAAAGAAAATCAATAGAAAATTGAACATAAAATTAGAAAAAGTTAAAATATAAACACATATATTAACCTTGAGTGGTGGTGGAGATGAGAAGGAATAAGAAGAGAATGCAAGCAAGTGAGTAAGGTCTCATTTTGGATATATTATTTCTAGCTTCCTCACCAGTTTTACTAATAATATCAATGAATACTTGATCTTATATATATATATATATATGAAGTGTCATGGCCAAGATACATTTCATAGTCTTAATAATAGAATAAACTTGAATTTAGGTGTAATTAATATGTTAAGTCAAATATTATTCCATATCGTATTGATTTTTTTCCAATAAGGTTCCTNATCTTTCACATTCCTCTTTTAATTTGATAAAATGCAAGTGATGGAAGATTAAAATGGTCAGTTTGTAATTCAGCAGGAATTGAATTAATTGAATTCAATACATAGAAGTTGAAAGTCCCGCAACTTATGAAAGTGGTTTTGATATAAATAAATTAATTAATTGAAGAACGGCATAATACTGGAACATTTTAGTGATAGAAATATATTCCCTTTTCAAAGCAAAAGAAGAGTTGCAACACTTTTCTTACAACAATTTGGTAAATAATAATACAATTGAAATGACAATTTTGCCCTTCTTAAAATTAGTAGTTCCTACATGGAATATAATGATTGCTTTGAGGTCTAATAGTTAATCGTTCACCATTTTAAAAGGTTGCTGTTAAAATGTGAAGCTAAAACGCAACATATCAGTGTAAGTGAATTGCTGCAGATTCAAGTCATCTTGCAATCTTGACCGCAGATTAGAGGCACATCTAAGGGCTATTATTTCTCTTAAAAGTCAAGGTATAAAAGAAGCAGCTCTTTATTTTAACGCTATAGTACATAACAACACAAAGAGATCTCTTCTTCTTGGACTTTGTATTTTACTTTGCTAGGGTTGTTTTAGTTTATTCCAATTCTTGTAATCTTTGTGCAATCATTTCGATTGATTAGTGAAGGTGGTGTTTCCTTCATGGGTAGAGAGGCTTAGGAAGTCTTTCTCTTGGGTTTGAAGGTTATGGTAAAAGAGTTGTGTTAGATTAGCAAAACGAGTTGGGTTGTGTTTGAGATTCTGAAAGTGTACTCTGTAAACAACGTTAATCTTCTTAGTGCAGCGAGCCTCGGTGTTTCGGAGCTCAACGTGGACGTAGCTTGCTCAAATCTAGAGCAAGTGAACCACGGTAAAATCTTTTGTGTGTGTTTGTTTGTTTCTTGATTCCTTGTGTGATTGATTGGTTGATTAGTGTTTAGTTAAGTCTCAAATCGTAACAGTTGCCAGCACCATGAAATGAGCAAAAATAAAATAAAATAAAACTTTTCATCCTTCATCATCCAACACAAACTCTATTCGCCACAAAACACAAACTATTACTGGCTACAGAGTCCACAACGAAAACATGTATAACATATCTAAGAATGTAAGTTTGCAACTTTTTGATAATAAAATATGTTTCATTGATAAACACTTTGTAATATAACATTGTTTATAAGACACAGAAAAACAAAATAAATTGACAATATTTTTTTTTTAAATGGTTCATACTATGTCTACGCCAAAAAAGAAGTATTCATTAAATTATTTCGAATGTCACACCCATCAATGCTCACTGTGACCATCACTGCCAAAGGTTGGCTGCATAACAAAGGAATCAAAACTAAATCAATTTACGTTAAAAAATAAATCCGTAATAATATGAAATTTCATAAACAAACAATGGTTTAAAGTAAGCACTTGTGAGTGGGGCAATGGCTGGCTACACTTGGAATGACCACTTCCGGTTTCTCAACAGGTGGTGTATAGGTTGTTGTTGTAGGTGGAACAACTCTTAGTCAAGCACATAGAGAAAGATGGGAACTATAATTCCAAGCTCCATGAATATATCAAAAACTAATAATGAAACATGCATCATTGATTCTTCAAAGAGCTTGATGTTGGAGCTTAGTTCGTCCTCAAGTCAAGAGGTTAGTTAAATTAGCCAAATATAAATATGAATATCTAAGAATTTGTCAAACATCTACAGATGTTTTAATCCAAACTTAAGTTCTATGCAAAAGTTCACTAAAAACTTAAAAATTTCTATTTGAAAAACTCTTTCTGCAAGAAGATTGAGTTTATACTCAAAGAAAATAATAGGTTACTAAATTTAGTCTAATTGCATAAAAGCACCAAAAAAAAAAAAATTTCAACTGCATTTGGACATTAAGAAAACTTAAAGAGTAAGTGCTTTTAAGATTACACTAAGTTGTCACATAAATCATCAAAATTTTACTCTATAAAAGAAAAAATTACCTTTCGAACATGGTCTCTGCTTTCCATCATGTTAGCTGCTGGGTTTGAGAACTAATCAAGTTCATCTATGATTAAAAAAAAAAAAAAAAAAATTTAACAGGATGTCACTCATTTATTGCATCACACACACATGCACATGCACACACACAAACACATACTGTATATGCATTAAATGTGACAAAGTAAGAGAAAGTTGTGCAATTCTTGGAAGCTAATACATTATGCAGTAGCTAAAATATGTCATATGCAATTTGAAGGAGATATATGGACAAAACCATACCACTATGCTGTATACCATAATCAATCTATAACTTCACATGGAAAATATATGCAATGTATGAAAGAAAAATTAATAGCAAAACATTGACGGAGTTAGAATGCCATCACCAATAACCATGCTGGTTTCAAAAGCACTACCAGTGAGCAATAGAAGTTACTCACTCCTCAATTGATCTTACGTTTCATCTAGTTTCTAGCCTAACATCTTGTGTTATACAAAGGGCTGTAATCTCACAATACAAACATCAAGTTCACGCCTTAGTCTAACATATCATAAGAAAATAATGAGAAGGAAACAAAAAAGAAATGAAACCCGTTAGAATCATTCACAATGGATTCAAAAACAACCTCAAACCTACAGGAAATCCTAATTCAATTAAATCACAAAAACAATCAAACACCGCCATCAAATTTCCAATAAACATTTGAATTCTTCACACAAACATACTGCCTAGCAAGGCCAAGGCTAACACGATCAAGAATCTTGAAATCAGACATCTTGAACCTCATAACATGCCCTGACTCTTTTCCTCCACAGAAACAACCTCAGATTCAACTCAAGAAACAACCTTCTCGAAGATGAACATTGAACTCCAAAACTTCTCCGCTGAAACATCACAATGACTTTGACTTCCTACAAACTGCTTACTAATCAGCCTTGTTGACAAATTCCTGCTTAAACTCCATCTCTCAACACCTCCAAATCGGACTGGAACCAATCCCACATATCACCTATAGCCAATCTGTAAAAAGACAATTTTGGATCATTCTGAGAACAAAAAAAAACTGTAGACGTTTAGTTCTCATGTATTTAAAGAACATATAAAAAAAAAAATCAATATTTAAATCTAAGTCATTGAATTATACAAAGAAAGAATCATTCAACACATATAGAATAAGTTTAGTTCAATGTTGAGAAATTTTTCATTACTAATTAAAAAACTTTTAAAATTTAAATCCAACCCATTAAGTTATACAATGAAATAGAATCTTTAAGAAATTGATTAAAAGGTGTAAAATAGTAACGTAGAATTATGCGTTAACTGTAGAATAAACAATATTTATATTAGCTTCTGGTATCATCATTCAGTGGGAACAATATACTGTGAATCTTTATCGATTTTATTATATAGAACTGTTTATATATAGTTCTATTTTTTCCTTAAGGAATACCAAGTTCCTTTTCTTGGCAATAATCAAGGAACATTTCAGTAAATCGAATATACATGTATGGTTGAGCTTGTTATTTCTAACAAAACATTCATTATATCTCTGTTCATCACTCTGACAGTGTTGAGTTTATCCAACATGACTTTAAGGTTTTGTATAATACCTTTCAGTTAAGGCGAACCATCTGACGTTGCTGCTGACCTACTAAAAATCAAAAAATGGACATGTAAAAGTAGATGTGTAGAAGGCATATAAGAGTAATCAGTTAATGTATTTACCGCACGCTTATATATGTTTGGATTTTAGATTAACAATAGTTGGTCTTTGTCTTCTATTTGTAATGGTATCTATGTGAAATGAAAGAAATATTGAAGGTGTATGGATTGTTGAATCTACTCTTATATAGCTTTAGATGTCATTAAGTATATATTATATGATAATAATGATTACAACAATATTCGTGTTATGTTCAATGAATTGGATTATTACTTAATATGATTTTGATTTTTTAGTAAGTGTTGTATGTTATTGGTTATGGTTATATGATTTAAGTGTTTTATTACTATTGGATGAGTTTAAAATTTTCAGATTATATTAATGTTAAATGATAATACGTTTTATATAAAATATTTCGTTATTATGTTTGATATTTCTATTAATTGAATGTGAATGGGCAAAGATATATTAATATAATAATAATTAATTGAATGTGAAGGGGTACAAAAATATTAATATATTAATAATAATAATTAATATGCATGAATGAACGTTGAATATTAATGGATTAATAAAGTGTATTATTGAATTTCATAAATGTGAAAATATATGTTGTATCTTTATCAAATTAAAAGAGGAATGTGAAAGATCTCAAATTAAAAGAGGAATATGAAAGATTTGTATTGAATACATGTGAATAATTTCTATTATAGCAATCTCTTAATATTCATAGAAATCAATAACATACAAAGTGAATCATTAGTAATTTATCAAATTAAAAAAGGAATGTGAAATATTGTATTAAATACATTAATGAATGCATGTGAATAATCTTGTTATAGAGCAAGCCCAATAAATAGCAAACACGTGGACCAATTAACGACATCCTACATGACGATCATATATCAATTCTACGTGACGTCAAAAGAAGCAGTCTGCTTCAGCATTATAAAATATATAGATTCTTCACAAACTCGAATAGGTTTATTACCAACTAATTGTGTGAGTATAAATTGGTGATTCCATTAATTGAAATTGAAAATATTTGATCTAATAAAGCAATGGTAGGATAATACGATATCCGTCTATGGAAATATAATTATAATAATAGTAATATTATAAAAAAAGAAACAAAGGCTCTCAATTTATTCATATAATATATATTTATAATAAGGTTAATGATTACAATATTATTGAACAAAAATGAATATCATATATTGTTCATGTGGTGTCATATGTTATTTTTGTGCACTTATTTTAATTATGGTGTGGAGGACTTGCATGTGCAGGAGAATAATCAACCCCGAACCCTTGTATTTCATCATCTTCTGTGTCATGCTTTCTCTTTGATTCACTCTTTTCCACCTGATAATTCATCTGTGTATTAAGAAGTAATTATCAAGAACAAAATTTATTCTAAGCTTGGATAATTAACAATATACCTGAAAAAAGCAATCTGGATAGAGTAATGCTCTAACCGATACTATTACTTGTTTGCGTCGAAGGAAGAAGAACCCTCCATCTTACAAAAAACAATTAATATTTAGCATTTCAAAATATGCAAATTAAATGCAGTAATTTTCGTATATATAATTACCTCCCTGACGATGTAATCCATTGATCCAGGGAACTCGAATTCCTTAACACAATTAATAAAAAAAAGAAAATCAATAGAAAATTGAACATATTAGAAAAAGTAAAATATAAACACATATATTAACCTTGAGTGGTGGTGAGATGAGAAGGAATAAGAAGAGAGAAGCAAGAGGAGGTTATTTGGATATATTATTTCTAGCTTCCTCACCAGTTTTACTAATAATATCAATGAATATTGATCTTATATATATATATGAAGTGTCATGGCCAAGATAATTTCTAGTCTTAATAATAGAATAAACTTGAATTAGGTGTAATTAATATGTAAGTAAAATAATTCCATATGTATTGATTTTTTTCCAATAAGGTGTCTCCAAAATCAAGAAATTCATTTAATGAATATCTAATAAAGATTTATATAGATATAAATTTGATTAGGAAAACGATATAAAATCAATGAGGTGTAAATTATATATACAATGAAAGAACATGCAAATAATTAATTGATCAAGGTTAATAAATAAATGATAATCCTTGGCTATTAATGATGAATTAACTCTTTCATATATATATATATATTATAATATATTATATATATATATTAATATATATATATACTCGATTTTCTCTTCAATGGTTTTGCATACTAATTGTTGAAGTGCACAATAGAATACAAATAATATGTTTCCTAATTGTAAAATAATAATAGTTTCTTTATTTAAGAGATTTTAGATATTATTACAATACTATCAATACAATACAATAAATTCCTTTTAGATATTTCTAGATATATTCTGACTCTTCAATTGTTTCTCTTATCTTTTCAAAGATATCTCCTAGACAATGGCAGATCTAGAGTATATGGCCTACCCTCAAATTAAAAAATAATAATATTTTACGTAATTTTTTTCTTTTTATGTCAATTTCAATTAAAAGCATAAAATATGAATATTATATGCTATTACATTTTATTTTGACCCACCCTAACAAGAATTTCTGGATCTGTTACTGCTCTCAGACATACTCTGACTCTCTTCAATTGCTTTTGTTGCCCTCTCAAAGTTGACAATAATATATGAATATGATGTGTTTAATTATTCTTCTGAATGATTTATCCGACTATAGATTGAGGGGCATGTTGGAGTACCTGGTTTTCTGACATCAAGAAGACAGTGGATAGGTATGATATTTAATGACCAATTTGACAAATTACACAGAATGTTATCCATGCAATGCCATTGCCATTGCCATTGCCATTGCCATGCATACTCAGGTATGAATGTGCCGCTGCCAAATCAAATCATACGTAATTTGATTGGTAAAGCGAAATCTGGGGAACTGGGGCCATGCATATTAATCTCAAACATTGCCCACATGTAAGTGACTACTCAAACAAGGCAATCAATAAATGAAACATGGTGGACCCAAAACCCAAAATCCTCCATGGCCCACATACTAAATAAACACCCATATTTCTCAATCGAATAATGCACCATCCATACCTACTTCATTCATTACACCTCATCCGATCAATATTCAATCCAAGAAACTCTCATCATATAATTAATAAATTAATAATAGGTTACAAAGCCTAAGGTGCTCATATATCGATCACTCAATCATCAAAGATGATGATAGTATAATTAAGAATATTATCAATTAACTATGCACAGAATCATATCTAAGCCTAAAAAACTGCAGCATTTCCTGACTTGTGTTCCCATTTTATTATACTTTAGTTGTGAATTGGAGGTTTTCTTTTTGCTGGAGAATAGTCCATTTCTGTAATGTCTGTAATGTCCACATACTGCTCGGAACTTGGTGGTGAGTTTGTGGGAAAATTTCCTTGCTCCCCTTCAGTGTCTCCATCACCATTTGATGATGATTTCCCCTTTGTTGTAGGGGTAGCTTTATTCCCCTCATTCTGTACATGGAGATCACATAAAAACTACATCAACAAAGAACTCAAAGGGGGAGGGTTTTCTATAACATTGTATATTTAATTAAGTTGCTTATTTGTGATTAATGGATACCAACCTTATTTGCAGTGGTAGTAGAAGAAGAAGAAGTAGTAGTTGTGGTAATAAGTTTTCTAGTCATTCCTGCAACAATAATGGAAAACCAGAACTTCAGATATATATATGAACAACAATAATTGATTTTGCAGTCTCTTTTTTCTGATAACTTTGATGAAAACAATAGAACTTCTGAGATTCTACTACAACAATTATGAACAACTTCACTAATAGTCATTTTTGTAGAGTACATGTCATGGGTTTAATTAAACCTCCTAAAATCCAGCTAGCTAGCTAGTAGTCAAAGTTAACCCTGATGAGAGATATTGATCAGAAAGAAAGAAGATTATAAATTCATACTAATGGTGCCTAGGTCTGTGATGCCTAGGTCCATAGTAATCTTCATGAATGCTTGGTAACCAGTGTTTTGAATCTTTTGATTTCCTCGATACTCTAGAAACTCTTTTCATCTTCATCAAGGTACCTGATGAACTAGAACTACTGCACTGCCCTTCTTTGCAGAGAATAACCTCTCCAATATCTGATCCTTCTTTCATCAAAGAAATACTTCTTTCTTCCTGTATATATATACAGCAGCAGCAGTCTGTTAGTTTCCAATTAAAGTTTTGGCAACAGTAGTATAGATATAAGCCAAAATATGAAAAGTGAAAAATAGAGTATACTCACATGCATATTTTGAGATTTATGGTGTCCAAATGAGAAGAGTAGTCCTTTCTCAAAGCGAATCCCTACACAAAAAGAAGAAACAACATTACATTTAACTATAACCTAATTATACAAAATATAGATGAAGATAAAAAGATACATATGATCTCTCTATGAATAATAATGTTTAAGAAGGGAACATATTGGCCTACCTTGAGCCCCAGAAAGGCAAAAAGATAAAAGCAGAAGAGAGATTGCAAGTACGAGTAAAGAAGGCCTCATTTTTGGCAAAAAAAGAAGAAGAGATTTTGAAACTCCTGGCTAGATTCCTTTTGATGAGGAAGAGTAGAGAGAATGTGGTTTAAGCTTTTGCTCGTGTCCAAAATGTATGAATATTTGAGAGAGATTGTGAATGTGAATGGTTTAATATATAGAGTGAAGAATGGGGTTATATTTAAATATTATAGAAATTAAGTGTAGGGAGTCCCCACATAGTTTGGTTTGTGTTTTGTTTTGTCTTGTAAAGTGCAAATAATGGTTTGTCAAAGAGAAATGACTAATCATTTGATGAGATTGGTCGACATTAACTTTTTAAGAATAGTCTATATTCAACTCATTAGTTCTATAACATTTATATGCAATAGATTTAATGATATTCACAATCTACTATAATTGGTTTATGATGAATTTTCTAATCTAACTAATTATAGAGTTTATGAAAAAAAATTTATAAGATTGAACTATGATATAATCTTTATTGTTTAGAATATCATCTTTGTATATTCTAACAAAACCTTTATTTCAAATTGGCTTTGTTTTCAACAGATAGCTCCAAATATATTAGCCAAGAGAATGAGGATTTTCAAAGTGAAGTTTGAAGTTCTGATCAATACTAAACACAAAAGTTGGATAAACAAATTCATGCTAGACGTCAATGAGTAATCAGATGATGGATTAGACAACTCATATTCTGAATAGTCTCGGTGCTATTGATATAATGATGAATTTATTTTTTGCACCATCTTCATCATGATCAATCGTCATTATCTGAAACCGTGTTTAAGATGATAACCTTAATGGGACCTATTTCTATAACCCTAATCAGCCACTGCTGCATCAAGAGATGGGACTCCTTGCTCAATCTTTTCCATCTTCTCTTTCTTTGTAGTAAACCAAAATTTGATCTTAAAATTCAAAAACGTACTAGTGATTCAATCAAGACCGGTCGCAGCCCACAGGGAACAGGAGGAGTAAATGCGAGGGTGACAATCACCGATTGTATCACAATTAGGGTGAAATGGGGTAGGAATCCACGTGGATGTCCACATCTGAGGCAGATGACATGGCAGGTAAGACGGACACGTGGACACAGGAGCTTCACGTGTGTTGTGATTCTTTTTCAGGCAATATAACATCATGTTGGTAGCTGCCATGTGGGTTGCTTTCTCATTTAATTTAATCCGACCGACGCTTCCCATTGCATTAACTTTTAAACTAGATAATCCAAGCTTGTTTAAATATTTCATCATCTTGATAAAGGTATATGATATTATTATACAGGATATGGAAACACTGTTGTGCAACTATGGTGGTTAATACAGCACACTTAAGCATAATGTGGAAAGAGAGAGAGTAAATCCCTGTGATTCTGCATACAAGATTTGGCAGTGGTTTATGATATAAATGAATATGCATGGGTGATGCGTTATAGACTGGATTGCACCCATATTTTTATAATTATTTATGTTAACTCAATCTTCTTTCCCCTTCATTTTTGGATTTGTACAAGGAAGAAGAACACTGAGAACAACTCTTCTAATTAAAATCCAATCAGCAGCTTCATGGTTTACCAAAGACGACAGTCGTCCAAAAAGTTCATTATAAATAAAGTCAAACTATATGTCAAAAAAGAATCAATTAAGAAATAAAATAAAGGGAGATTGAAATCATCTTGCGATTAGTGAAGCTGAAATTAATATAACAGAGGGTAAAAAAAAAAAAAAAAGAAGGGCCGACAAAACGACATTCACATGTTTTAATAGAGGGGAGTGTTACTGGAAGAAAATATAGAAGCAGTCATCGTGCACTAATTTTCTTATGGATTCATGTTTTCTGATAATGTGTCTCGTCACAACCAAACAATCCAATCTCACTTCTAACTTCTTTCAGATCCAGAGAGCCTGAGCTTTACAAACCTGACAATATAACTTCATTATATTCTTAATTAATCTCTCTTACATAGCCACTATATGTTAAGCCAATAAAGACAAGTATATATAAATAGCCATGGAAAGTATGAGAAAATCTGAAACTCCCCTCTAGCTAGCTAGCTTTTATTTCGATGTACTAATTGGTTATATTTATATCTCTGTAAGCACTTTTGGGAAAAGTGCTTAATTTTTGGTCGGGCCCTTCTGTTCGTCGAACAAAACACTTGGAAGATGAGTGGCCCTAGCTATAGCTATTCAAATAAATACACAACAAAGAGACAAACCAAGCAACCATTCTGAAGAAACATGTTTGCTTGATATTCCTATCACCATTCAAATTTATTAATTTGCTCTGAATTGAATTACCAGAAACATTACTTACAAAAGATGAACTGCTTAATTAGAACCCTCATAAACTGGTACATATTTCTATTAATTACTTGTTCATAAACTCGATCATGTAATGTCGATATATATATAAGTAAAAGTTAGGATTCAATTTGGGAAGATAAAAACTTTCCTCCGCCAAATATAATTAATGCAAAAATTCACATTCATTAAATGTGTTGGTGAACTTGAACCTGCAGGGGAGAGACAGAATTAAATAAATGTTGGGGCCTTCATTTGACGCATGTTGACAAGTGATTGTGAAACGTACCCGAAGAAGAATTAATTACATTTGTCAATTTGCAGCTTTAGTTAAGGAACTATATTCAATTATTCATGCACAAGTGGCGTAGTAAAATTTATGTATAAAATTAATGCATAATATTAATCATTCCTTTGAGATAATTATTGAAAGATGGGTTCATAGAATTTTCCCTTACAAGACAAATCTTTGCTCAGATTTAATGTACTCTTTTCTTTATATTTTCTCCATTCGCTTTTGAATTGTGGCACATATGACAAACTGAAAGTGGACTTCTACTATATATTGATGTGAAAGGGTGAAGAATAAATGCACGGATAGATCCATATTGATTCATCTTTTTCTTAACTTTGATCTTGTAAATGCACAGAAGTTGGAAATTTTAGATTTGATAAGAAAGTATTAGTTAAGGCGTGCTATATCTTATATTTACTGTCTTAAATATCAACTTTCTACCTGTCGTTAATTAAGTTTGATGCAAGAAAGTGAATAATCGAATGATTTTAAGTACCAATTGTTCCACTTTTTTAACCTTTTCGTAGGGAACTACTCCACAAGCCTTACAACATTGAAAGCTAACTTAGCTACATAACTTTTAGTGATTGAGTTCAGACTAGGAAATCATCTTCTTTGTCAACATGGAAACAAAATTGGAGGTTTGCAGAAATTTCCAAGGCATTTTGTTCCACAAGTTGTCAAAATTTGAAACTGATGGGATACAGATTATCATTTATTATATGTTGGGACATAAATATGCTTATCTCCATATCCATTGTATGTCTTGCCATACTCAAGTGTTGAAATCTCACATGCATGTTTTATGTGTTACACAAATATCACATGGGGGTGATGAGGTGCCATGAACCCATTCTCGACATGGTTAGACTTTTAGGGTTTGGATGCCTCCTGCAAATTTGGCGTTAAATTTGCCGACCATGGATCTCCATTGTCTCATCTCAAACCCAACTTTCTCATGAGGCAGGCACATGAAAATGACTTCACATATGCATTCATCAGCGTAGCTTAACCCCACAAACAAGAAACTAAACTAGTTAATAATAAGTTAAACATGTATGCATACTGCGATAATAATTTACAATTCAAATCTAATACTCCCTCCGTTTCAATATAACTGTTGTTTTAAGTTTTTACACAGTTTTTAATAAATCAAAAGCTGTGCAGAGAATTGACTTTTCCTGATATTGCCGGTGGAAAAATTTTGTTTTCCCCATTACAACACGTGTGAAATATTAAAATAAAGAGAGAAGATGAGGGGAAAAGATAGATAGAGAGAGAGAGAGAGGAGTGTGGGGTAGGGTAAAGAAAAAGGTAGAGAGAGAAGATGAGAGACAGGGTGGAGAATGAAGACGTGAGTCAGAAAATATTGAAAGAAGAGAACAGTCATTTATTTTAAAAAAAATTAATACCCTCAAAATGATTTTTATGAAGAAACAGAGAGAATAGTATATAATCCTAACAAAATTTATGTCAGACTTTACTTCTGTCACATAAGAAATAACCTCGTAATACAAACCGGAGAAATTGATTATCCATCATCAACCAAGGGGTGTTGTAAGTTTTTACACGTGATCATATTATACTAAGCAATTGTAATGTTTCGAGGTACTATATTTGATTATTAATACGAGTCATTCCATATAATTAAGACTAGTCTTTGGGTTAGAGAAAAACTGAAGATGTCATCCGAGTAGAGATTATTGTTGTATACGGGAGTAAGAAATAATCACTCTACTTAAAAGAAAAAATCTTTTAAGTTTGATTTATGAGAAGAGTGGCACAATAATAGTGTATATTTTGACGGTGGAGAAAAATCCAACCATCATCGACAAGCATCATTTGAATGATTGGTGAAGGTTCTGTACACAAAATCTTAATGAATTGATGGTCTCTTGAACTTTTGTTTTAGATTTTAGTTATAAAAAGTCGGCATGTGAGAAGCCAGGAGAATTTCGCCCCAATAAGTGGAAACTAATTGGTTTACAGAAAAGAATTAAAAGGAGAAAGATGAGAAATAGATTGATTGGTGTGCTAGCTAGGAGTTTTAAAATATTGATCAACCATATCAAGCAGTTGGATCCTTGATTCCACAATTTGTAGTTTTGACGATAATAGATGAGAAACTGCACGCTTGAATTGAATTGGATATTGAAGTGCATAGCTTATTGATGGAATCGTTCTGCAGTAACAATGTTCCGAATACTTAATCAAAGGGAGCATATCATATGCATACAAAATTGAAGGGTACTAAAGGCCACATCCAAATACTGAATTTTGGATTGCTGATCATAACTTGAGTTGATATGCATTATGTGAGATATCAACTCAATTTCGATTGAGGGGCATTGGTGATTTGCCCCTGCAAGTGAATGGATTACAAAAGTAGGCATTTATCTCTCTAATGTCAGATCCTAAACAACTGGCTGCAAAATTGATAACTTCTACATCATATTCATGATATACGAATAATATACCAAATTTTCTATTATAAATGATGTGTCATCCTATAAACACTGAAATTTATAAATAAATGAGATCGCACATAAACATACACAAAAGGAAATACCATTCTCCTGCGAAATTTAGTTCACGACTCATCATGATCACAGTTGTCATAATCCTTAATGTTCTCCTCCTGCACTGCTGCAGCTGTTGATTCCACGGCACTCAACTTACTATTAAACATGGTAGCTAATAATCCTAAAGTTTTCATCAATTTACTTGATGATTCATTCTACTGCGTTAATCATCCTTAATGTACTTCTCCGGAAAGACCTGGCTTTAATAATTAAGGACCCAATTGTCCAGTGGCCCTGCGCCTGATGAATAGTAATATTCTCTTAAGCATTATAATAATTTTAAATATAAACTTAATTAAACAAAAATATCTGGACCCAACTTCAAGCATTATCCTTCCTTGAGTTGTGTGGATTTGTTTTAATTAGGAGTTGAACCATACTATACTTACTCACCATCTTACTAACTATCTTACTATCCTTTATAAATATAACGCATAGTACTGGTACTATACGCATAGTACGGGTACCATGTAAAATTTTAACAAAGGTAGTAAGGGGGTTAGTACAAGTCGTGAGTAAGCATAGTGTTTTTCTTAGGAGTTTACCAAGGCGTTAGCCTTTCTAGCAGATGTTTGCTGTGGCAGACGCAGTGTTTTGTTTTGTTTTCCAGAAAAAAAAAAATTTCCAATTCAGAGGGTGTTATTGCTCTTGATGTTTCAGATAATATGCTTCGCAAATGTTTTACATTCATCTACACTCATCTTATGAAAGGGGTCTTTCATAAATATGCTACAAAATTTGAACGAGAACTTGTTTATAATGATTTAAGAGGATGTTTATCCACAAAATCAAACAGTTGATCTTGGATTCCAAATCCCAGCATACGAGCCATGTCCCTTGCCTTCAATCTAGGTTTTGGAACATTATGTTGCTTCAACCAAGAGTACACAACAAACACTTTCTTCATGATAAATAGTTCCAAGGCCTCTGGATTAAACACAATTCCCATCCTCATACTCATCTGCCAAACACAATATCAAAGTTCAATTCATTGCATTGCATTGGAGTTTCTATCTTTCCCTACAAAATATCCACGCTTGTTTTGTGTATGTATGTATTATTACCTGGTGAGGAATCAACATGGCAGCATAACGAGCAAGCTCTCCAGCGCGCCAATCCAACAATACAGGCAACCAGGGATATTCAGCATCAAGTCTCACAAACCAAAGTCTTATATCTGGGAATTCTGATAGTTCTCGAGGGTCATTCGGATCTTCTCTGGTGTAGTTAATGGTAAATCCAATTGTCCGTTCAAGAAACTCTTTTGGCTCGGCTAAATCAATAGAGGACTATTGTATATCAGTTTATTAATTTGATATAATGTAATCAATAAATCAAACAAAATGATTACCTAATGAAGGTGAAGTAATCCCTGTAGCATTATGAAATGGGGATAAATCTAGGCTGCTAATAGCATTGTTATCAATAACCACTTCAAATCGGCCTTCGGTTGGGGGCATTGGAGGATCAACTTTAGATGAATCTGCCATTCACATTTCAACAAATAAAAGTGATTGAAATCTATTGCTCTGGCATATGCTATAATATTGAACCAACAGTGTGAATGTTAAAGCAATAATATTTGAATTGGTAAAAAGAAAAAGCAAAGAGGAAACGAACAAGCTCTTACTATCATCATCCTCATCAAACATAGAGATGTCAAAATTGCCTTGAGGATTGAAAGCTACAGAGACAGCAACCTGTGGTCGTGGTCTGGTAAAACTTAAGATGGGGAGAGTAGGCACAGAATCCAAGATGGGTTTGCAAGAAATGAAAGGAGTTGAAGTATGTGTAGATGGAAGAGAGAGTGGAAGTAAGGATTTAGTGGTAGTAGCCATGGAAGGTTTATCTTCAAGAGTGTTGAGTGTGTGTGACTGTTAAAATAGTTTTTGTCGGTGTCTTCAGTTTATCTTCTTTTCCTCCCTGTGGCCTTGTTTCAACTTTCAAGGTCCTCAAAAATAAAGGGAAAAGGGGCATTCCGAGAATCGAACTCGGGACCTCTCGCACCCAAAGCGAGAATCATACCACTAGACCAAATGCCCACTTGTGTTATATTCATAACTATTCAGAATATTTTTAGGGAAATTACCGTCACTTTCTCCCCCACCATTGATAATTATACTGTGCATAAATTCTAGTGGTGCATAAATTTTACCGTTTGTGTGGATTATTTAGTGAAGAAGAAATTCTTTAAGCTTGGAGAGGTTAATAGCTAAATTGACAAGAAGATGAATCCACCACTCCATTGCGTTTGGGCAGCCCAAGACCTGCGGTTGAGTTGGGATGAGTTTAACAAAATATAATAATAAGAGTTAATAAGAGGAGAGGAAGTGGTTTGCGTCACCATTTCTTCAACAAATAACGAACTCACTCTCTCACACAAATTTCATGGCAATGGCTTCTTCCTCTTCTCTCCATCAACTACTCTTCCCAAAACACCGCTACCTTTCTCGTAATTCCATATTTGCCGCTCCTCTCCGCTTTTCTTCCCCCGTTCGCGCCACTGCCACCTCCTCCGTCACTCTTCAACAGGTAATTTACTCAAATTGTTGCATTATTCACTGCAATTCTTGAAGCTTCTATCTTTTCAGCTTCTTCATTTTCATTTTCATTTTCAGGATGTGACTAAAACTTTGGAGGCTGACTTGTTCTGTTGCCCAATTTGTTATCAACCGCTCATAAGAAAAGGACCGCCTGGTCTTAACTTGTAAGGATTTTGATTTGATTACTTGATTTTGTTAATCCTTACAGAAATATATGTAAACTTGTGAGTTCGAGATGAATTAAAAGTTTTTGATTTGGAAACCTGCAGGCCAGCTATTTATAGGTCTGGTTTCAAGTGTGATAAGTGTGACAGGTCATATTCCAGTAAAGATAACTATCTTGATCTCACTCTTATTTCTGGATTGAAGGACTACGTTGAAGTCAAACCAGCTTCTACTGAGCTATTCCGGTATTTATTTTATTTTTTGATTTATAATCAAGCGAACAGTGAAACCACTTGACAAATTGTTGGAGGAAATGCTTATGTATTGCTTTCATGCTTTCACCTTTGCTAGGAGTCCATTTGTATCGTTTTTGTACGAAAGGGGCTGGCGTCAGAATTTCAACCGAAGTGGCTTCCCTGGTCCTGATGAAGAGGTATATTTACTTTGGAACTTTTAATCATAATCAGATTCATTCTAACAAAGCAAAACTAAACTATTAAAGTTATTGATTCTTTGATGAATATCAAAGCATTGTTCTTCCTTTTGTTTGGATTTTTTCATTGAGTTTACCAATGTGTTGTGTACAAATTACATGATGATTTGTATCAAATGCAGTTCAAAATGGCTCAGGAATACTTCAAACCTGTCGAAGGTGGCCTTCTTGTAGATGTTAGCTGTGGGAGTGGTTTGTTCACCAGAAAATTTGCAAAATCAGGGACATATTCTGGTGTCATTGCTCTTGATTTTTCAGAGAGTATGCTTCGCCAAAGTTATGATTTCATTAAGCAAGATGACACCATTTTGACTTCGTAAGTTTATATCTTTCTCTTAGATTCCCAAATTTTAAGTCACCATAGCATGTGATAGATCAATGTTTTATGTTATGCATTTTATAATTGTGATTAAGAAAACCACTGACTAGCACTTAATTTATAATGTGTAGCAATCTTGCTCTTGTTAGGGCAGATGTTTCTAGGCTTCCCTTCTCATCTGGTTCTGTTGATGCTGTTCATGCTGGGGCAGCCTTACACTGCTGGCCCTCTCCTTCCAACGCTGTAAGTGTTGTCTCTCCCTGACTCCCTCTGATATTTATTTGCAACTTTGCGTTTAGATATGCCAAATTGATTGTTGTTGGAAAATGATGACCTAGTCCTTTATCTATATTAAGCCTAACCTATTTATTTATACATCACTTCTCTTTGTTTTTATTGTTGGGCTGAAAAAACTGTGTTAGGGAGAAACTCCGTCCAGAGCGTATTTAACATATTGATGAGAACCATAGTCAAAATATTATCTTCAAGAAATATGATAAGCAGATGGAGCTGTTCCTCATTATTGAGTGATGAATGTTTCATATCGGTCGAGCAAGTTGTTGTTCATTGAAGAAAACATGGACTCCTGTATAATTGTGAGCATAAGACTGTTTGCCTTCATGAGAGCTGAAGGAGGATGATAGTTTGTCTACAGTAAAGGCTGTGTAAGGTTGCCAAGGATGATAAAAAGGCACTGTAGTTGTAGAAAAGTATGGCTTGACTGCAATAAAATTGTTAGAATCTTGACAACTGTGATTCTAGCAATAATACTGTTAGAATCCGGGGCTGTGGATCATATGGTGCAAAGCAGAACATGTGAACAACCTGCAGGTCCTAGGAGCCATAAGACAGTAGGTCCTGCATGGGATTCGTGTTGCTTTGAGTCATTCCATTGTTTCTCAATGATTGGAAAATTATGAGTATTAGCTTAGAGTGTTCAATATTTGGTTACCAGGCAGCATCTGCTTTGGCTTGCATCCTTATCTGGTATCTACAAGTCCTCGCTCCAGAAATTATGTTTTTTTATTGCAATTTTTTTTATTTTTTTTTAATAATCAGGATGCTCATTTCCTGTACCATTGAAGCATACTATATATGTATTGTGTCAATTGCACCTTTTGAATGCATCTACAACTGTTTTACAATTGACATTGTTTGCTAATGTATTTGTCAGATTGCTGAAATCAGTCGTATATTGCGAAGTGGTGGGGTATTTGTTGGAACCACTTTTCTTAGATACACTTCTTCCACTCCCTGGATAGGACGGGCTCTGAGACAGGTAAAACTTATTCATATCCATCTGAATCATTGGCTATTCTGTTTACTCACTATGAACAAACGGAGAATTGTATGCATAATAGAGATAGATGTTTAAATGAAGACCAATTCTTTCCTACTGTAATTAAATGGAGTGATCTGCCACCCAAGTTGTTAGGTTTTTCATTGGAGAAGCTCTCAGTCATTGGGGGTTTCTGCTTTTAGAATTATGGCCTTGTCATATTTTCGGAAGAATCCATCTTTTAACTGACTGCTATATACCATTGTGCAATGCAGAGGATTTTGCAGAACTATAGTTATTTAACTGAAGAAGAGATTGAAGACGTGTGCACATCATGTGGTCTAACCAACTACTCAAGCAAAGTTCAACAATCTTTCATCATGTTTTCTGCTCAGAAGCCTTGAAACTGGGTGATTGATTTGAATTACATATTCTCCATACTTGGCAGTATCATTACATGATGGTCAGAATTGATAAATTTGTATATACATATATAAATTTAGTAAATAATACCTGAAAAAGTGATAACTTGGGAAGACGTAAAGTGTGATTATTAATGGAACTTGAAACTCAAATATGTTTATATGAGAATAGAGATTAGAAGTAAGAAGATAACATGGTGTTGAAATGATCTCACATGAAGGTGAGGTTAAGTTATCTTGTATAAATATTAAAGAAATGGGAATGCACGTGAGATTGGGGTTAAAAATAAAGGAAGAAACAGAGAGTAGAAGTGGGTTGAAGCAATAAATAAGAAGAAAATGAAGGGAGGAAAGTAGGTTATAGTGGCAGAGAGATCCCCTCGTGCGGCTCCGACGCTGACCCAGACCCAGACCCATCCTCTGCCTGTTCTCTCTGTAAGTTTGACCATTGACCAATCAATAAAAAAAATAAGATAAACTAGATGTGGAAAAGAGGAATATTATGTCAGTTCTCAGACACTCTTTAACTAAAAACTTTAGACATTTAGCCCTTTGGATCCCCTGCACGTGACCCCCTTCCTTACTATATTACCTTTCGGCTACTCATAGCACGTGGGCTAGCCCTGGCCCTGCCCATCCACGACCTTTGATATTTTCCTTGGTAATATTATTCAACTTTTGAAGTTGTTTTCGCCATCGTTTCTCTTAATTGAAATGTGTTTTTAATCTTAACTAATATAAATGAAAGAACTAGAGTCTAGAATAGTCTACTCAAGACAAAATCAAAAAAGAAAGAAGTAAGTTGTATTTTGATTAATGGAATTGTAAACTGATTAAAGGGTATTTGAGGGATTAGCTCTTGGTTATTGGTGGCGAGGGCTCCTCAAAATGAGTAAAAACTGTAATTAATAATAAATAAGATCATTGAATTTGGTAATTACTAGTGCTTAATGAGTTGTGTTTGTCTGTCAAATGTTTGTTATTAAACCAAAACCAAAAACCTACATAATTATTAAACCACAGCTTCTCTCATTAGTGGAGTAGTTGGTTGAATGTTGCCATGTTTAATTCCCCAAAAACCGGGTTTCTTTTTCTACATGTGCTTCAATTATCCCTTAATCACCCTNATATAAATGAAAGAACTAGAGTCTAGAATAGTCTACTCAAGACAAAATCAACAAACAAAGAAGTAAGTAGTATTTTGATTAATGGAATTGTAAACTGATTAAATGGTATTTGAGGGATTAGCTCTTGGTTATTGGTGGCGAGTGCTCCTTAATAATAGATAAGATCATTGAATTTGGTAATTACTAGTGCTTAATGAGTTGTGTTTGTCTGTCAAATGTTTGTTATTAAACCAAAACCAAAAACCTACATAATTATTAAACCACAGCTTCTCTCATTAGTGGAGTAGTTGGTTGAATGTTGCCATGTTTAATTCCCCAAAAACCGGGTTTCTTTTTCTACATGTGCTTCAATTATCCCTTAATCACCCTATATTAACATCTCTAACCCATATTGCTCCTACTAAATCTCAATCTTCAGTCAAAATGATTAAAATCTTAGACCCCAGATATATGTTTAATCCTTTTAAGGAATATTTTTGATGTTGCCATGTCTCTTTTGACCATCATACAGTTCTTCAAATAATAATGAATGTTCCAATGAATATTTGGGTCACAACAATCATTCATTTTTTTTTTTTTTCCTAAACTTATTTTCTTCTCTAAATGATTTGAGCCACACTTTAAACCCTACTCGATCATGTGATTGATTGGATGGGAATTTTGTGGTATTTTATTGGTCAGAAAACAACAATATTTGGCCACTTTTTATGCTCCCTCGATCTCCATTCATGATCCCCTTCTATGTTTGCTTTAACCCAAATGTCAAGATTCATTTGCATAAACAATTAATTGATCACTCCATTGCTTCCCAAAGATATAAGGTGAATGAATATAGGAAATGAAAGGGCCAGAGGAGAAATTTATATAAAAATATGAATTGGGGAGGGCAGCTGTTTCAAGGAGAAATAGTTTAATTTAATTTAGGAAAAATAAATATAAATTAGAGAGAGCTCTTAAGCCAAGGAGATGACTGATGAGTGAGGGAGAGATTAAAGAAAAACAAAAACAAATAATATATAGTTTAAAAGGGAGGTGAAGGATGGGAGACACGGAAACCGTGCCCACGTTCTCCTCGTATCTCACTCTCTTTCTTTATTTTTCTATTAAATTTTCTCTCTCACAATATATTGCTATGTTTTATTATATATGTCTCTCTCTTGTGGAATAATTATATACTCTTTCATCTCTTGTGAACCTCCATAAATACACTCTTCTCCATACTCTTTACTTCCTCTCTCTATCTTCTGTTCATCCACTATCTTGATATTTGCTCATAGAGCAAAGAAAGAGTTAGCTATCTAGGGTTTGTATCTTTCAAGCTCCTATTATACGATCATGGTGTGTACTTGTTCTTTTTCTTCTTCATCACTTACTCAATTATCTTATAATGAAATTCTGATGTATTAATTAATGTTATGGTTGAATTGTAGGGAATTCAAAGGCCTGCATGGTTGGAAGCCCTTTACGCACAGAAATTTTTTGTGGGGTGTTCGTATCATGAAACAGCAAAGAAAAATGAAAAGAATATTTGTTGTTTGGATTGCTGCACCAGTATATGCCCTCATTGTATTACATCTCATCGCTTTCATAGGCTTCTTCAGGTTCGCCGATATGTTTATCATGAGGTTGTCCGATTGGATGATCTCCAGAAGCTCATAGACTGTTCTAGTGTTCAGGTAATTCAATTTCTTAATCAATTTCCTGTATTTATATATATCTTCACCATATATTTGTTAATTAAGATTAGTTTTTTTATTAACAGGCATATACTATTAATAGTGCAAAAGTGGTGTTCATCAAGAAGAGACCTCAAAACAGACAATTTAAAGGAGCTGGAAACTATTGCACTTCCTGTGATAGAAGCCTTCAGGAACCCTATATTCATTGCTCTCTAGGCTGCAAGGTAATTAAACAATTGAGATTAGAATATTCAATTATACATAAGTTACATATAAATTGTGTTTTAATTATACTGAATTATGAATGTTAATCAGGTGGACTTCGTGCTGAAACATTACAAAGACCTGAGTCCATACTTAAGAACATGCAGTACATTAACACTGAGTCCAGACTTCTTGATTCCACAAGAGATGGGAGAAGAAGAAACTCAGTCGACGATAGTGGACAGCGAAGAGAGAATGAGTTGGTCATCAGGATCGGAGAATAACATGAGCGTGGCATGCAATCAAAGTCAGATAGTGAGAAAGAAAAGAAGTAGTGGATTATACGTATGTGGAAGATCAGCTAATAATTACAAGGTGGTGGTTAATTCCGATAACGAAGACATGGCTACCAGCATGATCAGTAGAAGAAAAGGAATTCCTCATAGATCTCCTCTCTGTTAAGCAAAAACCCTTCTTCACGACAATCTTATTATTATTGATTTTTAATTTATATTTTTAGGGTACGTTTAATTTCTATCCAAATTTTGATTGATGAAGATGAAGATGAAGATGAAGATGAAGAAACGTTCAAATGCTTTTACTTCGAATTTAGTTAATTAATCAGTTGGTCGGAGGGTTTTGTCTTAATGGCATCACGTGATTCCCAATTCCAATTAATAGTAGTGTACATTTTTCTAAGCTCTTTTTTTTAATACTTTCGTACTTGGATTCCCTCAAACACATTAATCAAATTACAATTAAACTTGAAACCAATTATATTAATTTGAATTTGAATTTGAATGTAAAATTAAAGGCTAAAAATCTTTGTCAACTTAATTATGATAATGGGAGTAAATAAGGAGACGGGGATGGATTCTTTGACTCTGACGGCACCGTCCTCCTCGAGAAAGGAGAGGTCTGTGATTGTTGACCAGTCAAATCCTAATTACCACGTTAAACAAGCAACTAGAACTAGGTACCAAAAAAGAGAGAAACAAAAGGTGATTAGAAGTATTTTTGTGATCAGCTTTACGACTATGATATAGCTTAGGTAAAAGCCTAGTCATTTAATTAATCCTTTATTAAATTATTATATAGTTATAATTTAAAATAAAATGAGTTAAAATCTTTTGACTTAAATTGTTTACCCTAAATCATGCATAATAATATTGAAGCCGTATGTTGCCATATACATCATTAAAATTATATTGTAGGCCTTTGTAATTCCAGCTTACATCTTTTGATGATTCTAAGCACTCACAAAATTTAACATTAACGATGACAATTGGAAGGATTGGAATTGGATTGCTATATATTATGAAACAGTAAATGGTTATTGAACGGCCCTGAGTGGGTTGGGCAGGGCCGGGCAGCAGAGACTGAATTTTCATGGGATCAGGCCTAAGAAAAATTAAGTGATCAGTAAATGCATATAGAGAGATTCTTATAATAAATTCAACAAGAGAAAATCAATTCTTATACAATATAGTTGTCACATATATATACATAAGACTATATATCATACACGTACATACTAAAAATATTAATACATATATACATGGGTTTTGGACTTGTATTAGAATGTGGTTAGAAATTACTTTACTTATAAGGTAGCATTTATTAGTAGGTAAGCCGATATGACTTAGCGAATGGGTTATAGTATTAAATTACAACTACAATTCTAATACTATGACTTGGTATATGTCTTTATAAGATGAGAGGGTAAATCTATATAAATGTTATTGGACACTGATGTTACTCCATTTGCACCATTGATTTATATATAATTAACAAGTTAATGGTCCTGATGAGGGGTGTGTTTGTTGAAGATTAGGTATATTTACTAATGTTATCTCCTCTTTCAAGCTGCTTAATTTGAGAAAGAGTCAGTGTCGGGACAATGAAATTGTCTTGCTGTTAGCATCAATTTCATCACTGGAAATGATTTGTTTCTTGACTTGGTCTCGTAATGTGGATTTTCAAGATCAAGCACTACGTTGTCATGTTACACTTGGATCAATAATTAATTCTTAATCAAAACTTAATTAATTACATGCTTATATCAGCATGCATTATCAATAGTTAACACTTGTTTCAACAACTGATTCAATTATCAAGTATTTATATCTATGCAAAAATGATTTGGAAAAGAAAGAGAGAATAAAATTAAAGAAGAGAATCAGTGCACATGACTGATTCTCTTCCAATTCCAAACCCTTACTTACATGCTGGACTTCTTCAGTCTTGACTCAATATGGTTCATCTGATGATCTGTTGACAACCAAGAAGAAGAAGAAGCAATCCACTACTTTTAATTTTAAATCATATATTAATTGAGAAATTAATCAATGGTAGGTGCAGCCGTTTGTTGTTTCTCCTAATTAACCAACACGTACACTCTAAACCCTATTTTATGTACACTACATAATTCATCACCTCATTAATGTAATCATATTAATTACCTTAACCCTTCAATAATCTCATCTCATCATCTATGGTAAGTGCTTGTTTATTGGTTCACTTGTCTCTTTCGACTAATTAGTCAAATATTGACTTTAATCTCCGTCGGCAAATCATATTTCCTGATTTCAAGCATTGTTGCTGATGAGCACTCCCTTAGTTCCATCTCTGTTTAGAGACACATGGCGTGATTGCCGTCCATTTCTTTTTTTCTTATATTCATGTTGGAAAAATCTGCTTTTATATAACGTTTGATTAAGCGAGTTAACTCTTACACGATTGTTGATAACTGAATATGTGCTCCATTGCCGATTGCGCTATTAGCTCCATTTCTTGGACAGCGATAACAAGCTTACATTTGATTGAAAGAGACAAGTCTTATTTTTTGTTGATGTAATATCGTTGTGTACGTGTTTTTTTGTCAAAATTTTGAATTGTTTACTGTCTAATATACACGTATTATATTAAATATTCCTAAGTCTTGAGACGTGTTATTTTATTGTCATTGACAAATGAGTATCTAATTAACATATCATCGTGTACTAAGAAGTTCAATAAATTTAACAATGTTATTATTAATATATGGACCAAGTTAATAAAAAAAAATTTAAATCAAACTTGTATATGTCATCATACTCTCCCGGAACAACCCACCCCACACAATGGAAATCAAAGTAAGTCACAATCAACAACACCATTTACAATCCAAACCTAGTCTGAACTCAAAAGCTTTTATTTTATGTGCTTACATGTACACGTTATAAAGAAAGATAAGACTCCAGCTTTATATAATTTATTACGCAGCCAAAACATTTCAGCTACCTAGCCATGAATGTGTTTAGACTCTGGTTTTATTTACAGTTTTAAGGGAGAGAGAGAGAAAGGGAAAGAGAGATAGAGAACGGTTCGATTATTGTTTAAAAAATTTAAAAAAATAGATCTTTGGTTTAAAAAAAAAAAAGTTAAACGAAACCGGTTTTTTGAATCGGTTCTACAAATATATATTATATATTAAATAAAAAATAATTTTATTTTAAATTTTTATTTGTATCAATTTTTAATGTATTATTAATAATGGTCAACGGATATGTATAAATATTTAATTTTTATTTGAATAGGTATTATTTATATTTATAATTTAATTTAGAAAAAAAATAAGGTTTAAAAAACAAAAAAAAAGAAAAATCGATTAACCAAGAACCAATTTTCTCTTTAAACCGATTCGGTTTTGTTCAAAAATTTTCTAAACTGAAAAATGGGTTCGGTTCATAAAACCGATTAACCGACACCCCCTCCTGACGGTCGAGAGAATGATTGACAACTGGTAAGAGTTGAGACAAAGAAATGTTAATCAATAAGATTGAAAGCAACCTAACGCGCTCCTCGGAAAACAATGAGCCCCAGGTACTGACATGTGGCCCATCTCAGATTGAGACTTGTTATATTTCAGGCACGCGGCTCATCTCATATCTCTGTGGTTTTCCTTTGTTTAAACTCACTCTCTTTTGATTTTATTTTATATTCTTTTACAAAAATCCCCCCACAGACGACCGTTATTCTCCCATTCCCACACGCTATGCAATTGCGTAGTTGCTAATTCTCGACCACAACACCCTGTCTACGATTAAACAATAGAATCCAACGTTTATTTTACTCTCCCATGTTTAATTGTTAATAGCTTCCTATTTTTAAGATAGACAAAATCTTTGTAATCTTTCATTGTTTTTACCACTTAATTTCACTCTCTTTCTCTTAGCATTCAAGTTATGGTGACATTTGAGATACATACAAAATTATAATATTCCAAATCATTTGACGTTTTGAAACTTGTGGAAAACAAAAACATAAAGCATCTTATAATAAGTTTGTTTAAAGGAAAAGTAGCTTTGAAATGAATCAGATATCTTGTCTAATAAATTAAAAAGCAAAAGAAGGGTATTTATAAAAGATGGTTGGTGGGCATGATAATGAATAGAAATTCGTAACTGTAAAGAAATACGTACCAAAGATCACGGCTCTATATATAGTATGTAATAATAGTATATAATTTCTGACAATAGACAACGCAACACTTCTCTCTTCCCGGAGCCACACAAACAGAAGAAATTTATCTCTGAGGAAGTGGAGAAGACAACAAGGCATAACCAAAGCCAGGAACAGCAATAAGGTTAACACCTTCAAAATATGTTGATGTGTTTCCGATCACCCTTCTTTCTTCTTGTTTTTCTTTCTTTTGTTCTCTTTACATGTCAAACTTCTGCAACCTCTTATACGCTGCGCATTGCAGGTATTGTATCCTCTCTTTTTTTTTTTTTTTCAGATTTGTTGCTTCTTTGTTAATAAATAAAGTTTGTGTTTTTCTGTTTTCTTTATGAAAAAAAATTTGGATTTTTTCTTTGGTTATGTAGAGAGCGAGAATGGTGAGGTGGTCCCTTGGAAAATAAGGAGGTCTCTTGCAGATGAAACGACAACAGGTAACTCCACTTTGATTTTGGCTGCACAGAGAACACAAAGGAGAGACCCTCTTGAAAATTTTAAGAAATATACTGGAGGATGGAATATCAGCGATCAACACTACTGGGCTGTGAGTTTTTTTCCATTTTCTTTTTTCTGGGGAATTTTTTTCTTACATTTTTCCTCAAATAGGGTTTTACTTTTTATTTTTTATTTTTTATCTTGACGAATCGTTTTTACTCTACGTTTTCTTATATTTACATGACTTGTGGGTTTCCCATGTCTATAATAGTGTTTATTATTTGTGCATGTGTTCTATTTTTTTCTTTTTGGTCTATAATGGTGTATTATTTCCTAATCTATAATGGTGTATTATTTCCTAATCTATAATGGTGAGGTGCAAGTGTTATGATGTTTTAGTATATAATCTTTTTGAAATTTGATTTCTTTCTGCTATATGGTTATTTGCATATGCATCCGTTGTGAATTTCTGGAGCTGATTTGCTTATTTGTTGATTATGTTGTATCATACTGAAATGTTGATACGAAACGTGTATTTTGAGAGTTATGATTTCTTAGGATGAGTTCTAGCCTGTTGTCTCTTAAGGTTTCTTAATTTCTTCTGTGACTCTGATTAGTTTTTACTATGCAGTCCGTTGGTTTTACTGCGGCTCCATTCTTTATCATCGCTGGAATCTGGTTTGCTGTCTTTGGTTTGTGTTTGTGCTTCATATGCCTCTGTTATTGCTGCTGCCAAAGAGAGCCTTATGGCTATTCTCGATTATGCTATGCCCTGTCCCTTATTTTCCTCATATTCTTCACCATATCTGCAATGTAACTCTTTTACCCTCCCTTGTCTTTTTTATTATATCATAATTTTCCATAGATGCTGTACTGAGATGTGCTCAATGTTGTTGTTGTGGTTTGCAATTTTTAGTGTTGGATGCGTTGTTCTATACACTGGTCAAGGAAAGTTCCACAACAATACGTTAGACACTCTTGATTACGTTTTGAAACAAGCCAATATAACTGGTGAAAACCTAAAGAATGTGTCAGAGTATCTTTCTGCGGCTAAACAGATTGGCGTAAATTCAGTTTCTCTGCCAGCAGATCTTCAGAGTGGGATTGATGCTATTGATGCAAAGATCAACTCTTCTGCTACCACTCTTTCGTATCAGACTGAGAAGAACTCGAAAGATATAAAGGATGGATTGGATAGCATGTAACTAGATACCCTCTAAATTTCCTTGATGCTTATGATTTTTCAATCATCAAATTTATATCTGGTTTCTGTGCCCTGCAGGAGGTTGGCTCTTATAGTTATTGCTGCTGTAATGCTTTTGCTGGCATTTGTTGGGTTTTGTAAGTCCTTTCTTCCTTATTTTGAGGTGGAAACAGTAAACTTGTAACCTTTTATAGTTAATCTTATTAGCTTATGGTATTTTGACTATTATTGCAGTGTTCTCTATTCTTGGATTGCAATGTCTTGTATACTTGTAAGTGACATATCTTATTTTCTGTTTATCTGCAATGTGAATCATTTGATTTCTGAAGCAGTAGAGCTTTAATTATTTGTACCTTTTTCAATGAACACTTGTATAATTATAACTGCAGCCTGGTGTTCATTGGGTGGCTTCTTGTTGCGGGCACATTCATTTTGTGTGGTGTATTTCTTCTCCTCCATAAGTAAGCTCATTTTGTCTGTTTAATAATTTTGCTTCAGATGAACTTCTTTTTCGGTCTTTGTATTAGTATACAAATAAACCTGAGCCTCTATAGGTATTAGAGCTTGATGGCATATGTGTTCAGAAATATTATTTTGACAAAAAATTTCTGGTTTTATTACATATTTCAACACTTAAACTGTTCTGTTCTATTTTCAGTGAGATATACTTGGACACATGTTTGTGTCTCCCTAGCAGTTTAACATTTAATACCTTGAATGGAATCAAATTTAGTCTGTACAAAGAAAAATTGAGCTGATAGGATTCCATTAAAAAAAAATCTTTGTGGATATAGTGTTAAAGGAATTTTCAATTATGACCAGTTTGGCTTATGAACTGAATTGCAGCTTTATGACAAACTCAAATGTCACTTGTTGTCTAGTGTGTAAATATGCCTTTCTGTTATCAATTCTTTGATTACAATAGCAAATATGGTTTGTGAATAAATAATTTTAAAAATCAAGTTGAATGTTATCTTACATTTTTAACTCTCTTTTTTTCATGCAAACACGCAAGTGTGTTGTTTCATCTGCCTCAGAACATGTTGTCTGGCATCTAAAACTGTCTGACTTGTTATGTAAGATTGATATTGGATTTTGTTTTTCAGTAATATTTGTTGTAACTCAGACAAACACTATGCTTCTTTAATCCTGAATCTAAATTCTTTTCCTATTTCTACTAGTGTGGTTGCAGATTCATGTGTTGCAATGGATGAGTGGGTCCAGCACCCCACTGCACATACAGCTTTAGACGATATACTTCCATGTGTGGATAATGCAACCGCCCGAGAAACTTTGCTAAAATCTAAGAATGTCACACAACAACTTGTGGGTGTGGTTGATAGCATCATCAATAATGTTGCCAATAGCAATCTTCCGCCACAAGCTGGACCTTTATATTACAATCAGTCTGGTCCAATGGTACCTGTTCTTTGCAATCCATTTAATTCTAATCTGACGGATCGCCAATGTGCGGATGGTGAGGTGGAGCTGAGCAATGCTACAGAGGTAATATTATGAATCATGTGAAATACAAGGAAAAATTCCAAAAGGCTTTCTTAAAGTACTACATGACTAAGTCTAAACATCAAGGGAAAGCCTAATCTAAACTTATAGCTGATCACATTTCAATATAAGAATGTTGACCTAGGTTTTGAGGTGTAGTGAAGTATTTTGAATATAATTGGACTACATTACAATGTTCATATGGTATAACCCAATGAGTTGAGGGCCTCTAAATTTGTATAGATTTAAAAAAAAAGAACTCTTAGTATGTCTCTTGGCGTTTCTTATGTACCAATATACTTTCCAAATGCATTTGAAGGAATATGTGGAAATCTCTGTTTGAAACAGGTATGGAAGAGCTATGTTTGTGAGCTGTCAGCAAATAACACCTGTGCTACTACTGGTCGGTTGATCCCTACCATGTACAGTCAGATGTCAGCTGCTGTGAATGTGAGCTACGCATTGTATCGTTATAGTCCATTCTTGGTTAATCTGCAAGACTGCACTTTTGTACGTGACACTTTCACAGTCATAAGTAACAAATACTGCCCTGGTATGCGGCGCTATACTGAATGGATCTACATTGGTTTAGTAGTGGTATCCGCTGCTGTGATGTTTTCACTGATCTTCTGGGTGATCTACGCGAGGGAGCGTCGACATCGTGCTTACACTAAAAGATATGTTGCTAGAACCCACGAAGGCATAGAGAAAAGAGATCTTCAAAACTAATAGTAAAATCTTTCCTTGTACATTCTGAAGTATTAAATATAAACCTCTTCTTTTTTTCGGTCCGAATATACGGTTGTAACTTTTATTAGGCACAAATATTTTGCAGTACCTTCTATGGTAACTTAATAGCACTATATCAGATTATATATGTTAAATTTTTGGAAGCTACTGTAGGGATATTATGTCTTGTACTTTGCCTCCTAATTTTTTGCATGTTTGTTCAGTAGAGTTGTCTTTCAGGCTTTACCCTGAATTAATATGGTCAGAAATTTTTTAATTGAGATTGGAAGGATCTAGTGCTTCAAATCCACCTTTTTTTTACAGAGTAATACTATTCTTCCAATGATATATACCACCAATTTTGGTGCAATGCAATTGATGATAAGATAATTTAATCCACCTTTTTTACAGAGTAATACTATTCTTCCTATGATATATGCCAATTTTGGTGCAATGCAGTTGATGATAAGATAATTTAGACCACATTAATCATTTGGGAATACTAGTATTACTCTAGAAAAATGTAAATATTTTTGTAGGCTTGATGTGAAACCTAATCATTCTTATCTTTATCGGAAGCCAAGTGGGTTAACTCTGGCTTTCAGCTTTGAATCCTGAAAGGAAGAAGCCAATGGACGATGCTGTAATGTAAATAAGCCATTTCATATAAGATCATAGACATAAAGATAAGGTGGGGTTAGAAGCAAGATCATATATCCTTCCAAAAACAACAGATTCAATAAAGATGAAGAAATCAAAAGGCGATTGACTAGTCGAATTACCAATGTTTAAGATAAAAGAAATCAGGAACTAGATGATTGGGATATGTTTGAAAACAGAAAGCACACGTAACCTTATTATATTTATATATATAATAATGGATTAACATTACATTAGATGTCCTACTTTTCCCATACACAAACACTTGTAACTCTTTGAGTGAAGAAGTAAAAAGCAGGATATCTTTACTTTGATAGAATTCAAAGCCACATCCCCAGTTACTGTAAAACTTGTGGTTTCCAATATGATTTGGTAAGATGTCTAAATCAGCTTCTGAGAAAAGGATCCGTCTTTCATGGAGTTTGCTCATTTCGTGTCAAGATTTTTGTGTGGATAAAGAAGCTATTAATGGCATTAAAATAATTCTGCTGGGGCTAAAGAGGAATTATAAGCTAGGTTGGCGTCAATTCATTGATCATCATTCATACAAGTCATGCCCCCACCCACCCAACTGCCCCTCTTCCAAGATCTCTCTCGACCCTCGTTCTTCAACTCTTCTGTGCTACTTAAAATCAAACCGTGTGGGGTCGGTCTCTTTACGTTTGCGTATTAAAGAGAGTTGTATAAAATAGAGTAAACAACACATTCTCACCCAAGGTTTGACGAAATCCCAAATTGGTACTACAGGTTCTATTTATTCCAGATTTTTACCTTTAAAGTAATGGAAAATTGTTAGATATAACGATTTAGGGGTAAATTGGTCATTTCACAAAGGAGGCGCACATTAGCAGATCGTCACCCCTAGCAAAAATCTGGTGCACGTTAGCAACATCACCGTCGTCGTTTTTCGCTCTTTTTCGACGATTCTTCCACCCAAAATCACCCTTGTCACCACCATTCGAACCCTCATCCTCCCCTCTATAAAACCATACCCTTGACAACCCCTCATCGCCCGCCGATCTCCAGCCACGACAGCCACTACATGCGACTGGTTTTCGTCGGTGTCCATCGGCGAATGGCCACTAAACGGCTGCTGGGACATAGGAGTTTTGTAGATTAGGAGACGCTGGTTGCAGTGGTGATGTCGAATTAGATTTTCGTCATCGGAATCGATCGGAATCCGGTGAAGAACGACGAAAACCTAAGCTTGATGGCATCGGCAATTAGAGGGCCCAATGAGTCAGGAACCAGAGAGGTTTTGGACGACGGATGATGGGGAAGGTGATGGAGGTGACCAGGGGTTTCACCGACATTGGAAATAGCCCAGATTCGGTGAAAACCAAGACGGTGCACAGTCACTGAGGGTGTAATTAATGTAATTTCAAAATAAGATGGTTAATTTTATAATTTTTGTAATTTAAGGGTTAAAATATAATTTATTAATTTAGGGTTAAAAGGCATTATGGTAATTGTATCCTCACTATCCTAAAAAATGTTAACAGTGTTATTTTAAGGGTGGGAATATGGAATAAATGGAACCTGTGATACCAACTTAGGATTTTATCAAACCTTGGGTGGGAGTATGTCGTTTACTCTATAAAATATAAATATAATACAGTAAGATTACCAAACTGCCCAGTTTTACTTCTCAATAAATGCATTCTGCAGTGAATTTCAACCCATTATTTTCACCTTATGGTAAACGAATCGTCATAATTTATGACATTTATTTCACCGTTTTGCATCATTTCTTATCCAGTGCCTGGCTCATTATTTGAATGCAGCTTTTAATACATTTTCAATGTTACAGTAATGGTTATAGTTAAAGTATTTGAAGACATAGCCTCCCTCAGTAGAATGCAGTGTCCATTTGACCACAAGATGATTCTTTATTTGCAGTCTTTATTCCTTATACAGGAATAAATAGTCAGCCCGCCCTTGATTGCCAAGCAAGCAGTCAAGAAACAATAGAAATGGGCAACAATTTCTAAGGCTCTTCCCTCAAGCATATATACAAGTACACAATATTGTATAACGTTACACTTGTTAATTTTGCCCTTGTTAAGCGAAGCGCGTGCATTAAGGATAGAATGGTATTTCTTAATTAATTAATCTAATTTGATTATTTAATGTTATAATATTACGTGCCAATGGGTTATAAAAACCTCATAGCCTCAAACTCCCCATCAGTTTGCCACACCAAAGAGTGAATCTTGTTGACGTTGAACAATTCCATGGCCTCAAAAAATGCATCTTCAAATCATTCAAAGGTGAGAAGATGCTTATGTTCTCCAACCACACATCCAGGCTCATTCAGATGCAGCATCCACAGGAACATTCAGACCAGGTCTTCATCATCAGCTTCTATTCCATCAAATCGGTGGGAATTCGCTTTGATTAGCGCCAAAGCTAATACACTCAAGGCATTTCTCCTCCAAATTATCAAGCCATCAAGTCATGATCTTCAAAGAAAGAGGAATTTCCAGCCTAAGCCTTCCAGGTTTTGCTTGATGAATGGCAGTCGAGATGGGGTTGCAGTTTCTTGATCATCATCCATCGATCATCACTTATAGTTCTTTCTTTTTTGTCAGTTTCAAATGATTTCATCATCAGTTTGACACCGTTTTTCTTTCTATCTTACTTGATTATACGCTTTCATATGAGGATATTATATTCATATGGAAAAGCTGAGTGCATCGGTTTGTTAAGGATCAAGTATGAGCAATGTTTATATGTATATATATATATATATAGTTAGTTTGATCTTGTATCTTCTTTCTTGGCCTTCATATTTTAGAGTTTCAACCAGATGTTTTTCTTCTTCTGTTTGTTCTTTCCATAAATTCATGTCATCAAAAGGAGGAGTTTCAGTTTTAAACAAGACGTAAGGGAAAAGGGTTACGTATGTCAGATGAATAACTAAACACACCGATTTCTTCATATAATAATGAAACTGATCATACGCGCGCACAACTATTTACTTCATATCAATAAGGAAGAAAATACTTTATTTTGCTTTTACATTTCTATAATATAATTCCCCCCACAAGTTGCTGTTTTATATTGAAATCTCATACTGTGAGTGTGATTTATAATGGCATGGAGACAACACTCATAAGAAAGCTGAAGTATACATCCATCAAATTAAATTCAGGGGAAGAATATAATTGGAACCACAAGTTAAATTCAGGGGAAGTATACACTTTAATTGCCAAAAGATTAAACAATTATGGTTTGGTAACTATGCTGTCTGCAGATACAAATGAATGAATTAATAAATGCTTAGTCTTAGAAAAAGATTGATGATGATATCATATTATACTTAAAATTAACCAATAGTGGTTAAATCATTCATCGGATCAACTAAACATGCTAGCAAATTCAACAACCTCTCCTCTAAATTAAATAGAAGAAATTGTCAATTTTGATGATCTCAGTCAATTTGGTTGAACACTAGTCTAAAGTATTCCCATATAATTAAAGAATCATATCTTCTTCTACTAGTTGTTCGACCTTTCTTTTTCTTAAATAAAGTGAAACACAACATCCCTCAAGATGGGTATCCTAGCAATTTCCCATATAATTTCTAATTTTTATTTTATTTTGAGTACTAAATAGAAAGCGATGGAGAGATGATGTATATATTATAGTTGGTTCATCCAAGAAGTATCCGATGGGAGGAGAAATATCTAAGTAATTGATAAAGAAGCTTGACCTTTTGAGCTGGCGAGCAGCCTCCAAATATTATATACCAAAATGTGACCCCGGAGTATTCCAAAGTTATGGCCTTCCCCACCATGTGGAGCCTTTGATTGACACATTGTATAGAAATTTCAAAAGCTTAAAGAACCACAAACACAAGTGCACCATTTGCATAAAACAAACAAGACAGTAGTCATGGAAGAAGTGTTATGGAGTTTACAGAAATACAAGTCATGTTTACATTAATGTAGACCTTTCGTCCAGTAGTTGGATTAATCCAAGTTACTACCACGAAAGGTTCTTCATTTGTTTTTTACTTCTCCTTCCTTAAGAAGGAAAAAGATGCCACTTAATATGGCTCCAATTGTTGGCCTGTCTCCATGATTAGATCCCATAAGTGGCAGTCTTATGCCTCTGATAATTGATAAAAATATTGAAGTCATGAACATGAATGCTTTGATTTCAGATGAAAACCAACAAAGGAATGGTTATAATTGAATACCTTAATAATTAAGGTAAGAATAGACATGACAAAAGGTGTGATATAATTAAAAGATTATTTTCAAAGTTCAAAGCATCTTAATCATGTTCAAACTTGCATTGATTATATAAAGAAACTTCTTTTTTATAACGCGTTTGGCATACATTCTAAAAAGAAGATCATTCGGTACTTCACAGTTTTGGACCCCCATTGATATTAATGCTTTTCAAGGGAAGAAAAATAGAGCTTCATATTGTTGACTCAACTTTAGGGTTATGGTCTCTTTTGGCAAATATACAGGAAACTTCTCAACTCCATTATATGCGTCGCCTTGATTAATCGTTGGCAGGTCAATCCGGAATAAATGCTTGACTTGTAATTCCTCTTTTTAGGTACACATGAAGCAGCAATTTGCAAATGTTGGAAGAAAGTGGCCGGCCTCTAGACGTACAATTTTGCAAATGTTATGGCACTTGTAAAAATTAAGATGGATGATTGTTTCTTTTTAGGTAGGCATTAGCTGGTAGTGACACTTCTAAACCAACATTTTGGTTTTGGTGATAATGGAGGAATTGATGAATCCAAGAATGAAGATTTCTTCCACTTTAAAAACATTAATTAGATCTAATTAATCTACCAACCAAGTATGACGACGATTGCCACTTACTAAATGCTCCAATTAGTTATTAATTAATGATTCCAATCAAAATACTTGTTAAAGCATCTACAGATTTATATTCTACTTCATATGGTGCGGCGAGGCAGGGACAATTCTTTGAGAATCAAAGCATGTTGCTATAGCTTAAGGAGAAAGAATGAAGCATGATTATTATTATTATTATTATTATTATTATTAATCAGCCAACATACAGATAATTATATAAGTTTAATGATTAATGTCCACCATTAGCGTTTAAATTAAGTATGCACACAAATACAATTTATCACTTAATCGACAAGATTGGTTGTCACTGGCACCTGGACTATTATTCTATATACTTATAATTTAATTTTAATCATATTTGGTGGGTGTGAAACATGTACCTCATCAAAGCTATTAACTTCAAATATCACTCATATATATAGCATGATTTCCCAATTATATTTTGTTACTATTTCTGCAACTAAAACGTAACAACTGATATCCCAACTAATCAATCCAACTCCAAAATCATAACATATATAAATTATGCATTAACACTATCCAACCTATATCACCCCACCATGGTTCCATTTAAATATAGTATTAGTGGTTGGATTGGAGCAATTTCAATATAAATTATACAAAAAGCAAATCATAAAGATCTTCCAATAATATTCAGCTTTCTCTGCCCTAATAACAAATGACTAAAAGGAAAGAAAAGCAAAGTAAAGTTAAGCCCCATATATATATACACACACAGAAGTGAGGCATACACGTTTTTCTAATCTTTAATTAAGTGATAATCTTACGATTTTATTCCATTGATTAATTGCTAATTGGAAGGACGGTCACTTTATTGACGAGACTTTGTCAAGCCATACATATGTTCATTGAGCTACGTGTGTATTTTGTAGTTTAATAACATAGGGGAAGGATCATTAAAGAAAATATGAGAATCTTCTAAAGTCTTTGATCTGCATAAACATTATTTTAGTTAAGTGCTTTCTTTGTAAGCACTTAATGGGATCACTGCAATCAATTGAATTGTGTGAAAAATGTTAAGAAATTGTGTTATCCCATCAATTTTTATATATTTTTTACTCTAATATAACAAGTTTTTCCCAATAATTTCACAAGTCAACATAGTTATAATTACTTACTTATAAATTTGATATTATCGTATCCGAAACAAATTAAATTTTATGATCCTTATCCTCTTCCCAGTGATAAGAGTCATAGTGCCATTGATTAATGCCATCTCCTCGAAGGTCAAACTTCCATTATTGATATTTACTTGGGATTGCTTATCCAATCCTCACAACAAGGAGAGAACCTTTGATTATATGTTTGACGAAAGCTCATACTCTAGAACCATCAGGTACAAATATTTTTCTTTATTCCTATTAAAAACAAGAAAAACTCGATTAATGTTGTTGTTTTTAACAAAACAAATAATATAAGCAATGAGGGTATTATAGTCACAGTGTCTCATTTTGAAATATTGAATACGTGGCTCCTGAAAGCTGTTTCTGTCAGAAGACTGGAAGTAGAGCCCATAGCTTTTCTTTAAAACCGTTGGATATTATCCAAACTGATGTGCTCTGCTCTTTGCTATGTGCTAACCCTACCTCATCCTTATTCACCCAACCTACACCTCTGGTTAGGTTAAATGTCTTCAACGCACACCACAGTCTCTTTACACTCTTTGCATCCATATCCCCATACTTTCTTTTATTCTTTTAAATTCCATTTCCTTTTTTCTTTTAATAAAAAAAACAACATTATAATTTTTTTTTTTAAATTCTAAAAATCCTCAAAACCTGTTAATTCCTTCGTCAATCTAATTATATTCAACTTTGAATTTTTTTATGGTCAAAATATTCTAATCTTATGTGTGTCAATAATCATATATAGAGAAGTTTAGGGTTAAAAGCACAATATTGTAGAAATATTATACCTTAATAGAAAAAATGTTACCGTCTCTCTCCTCTCTACTCCTTTCAAAAATCCTATATATACATAGCTCGACTGAAGCTAGGTTTGCCAAACTGAAGAGCCAAACACGGCTTCTAAAGAAAATTTCTCTTCTCTCTCTTTCTGTTTATTGCAACAAAATGGCGGCAACCTCTTCTAGAAGATCATCGACTGGACCGGTTGTTCGTTCACTCTCGCCTTCCGGCAGATTCTACAACTCTCATTACACATCATCATCCTCTTCCTCCCCTGCTTTCGCTTATTCAACCTCCAGTTTCTCTTCTAGATCTTCCCCTTTCTTTACCAGATCTGCTTCTCCAACACGTGTGAACCTCTACGGTAACAACAAACCGATTCAGTCCACCTCAGCTCACTCAGTCCAGTTCGTATCACCTCACCGCGCCATCACTTCTCATAACATAAACAACAATCAAGTTAAAGTTCAGGTATTGAAAAATCAAGCCAAACCGAAGAGGACGTGTATGTGTTCTCCTACAACGCACCCTGGCTCCTTCCGATGCAGCCTCCATAAAAATTTTAATTCTTCACAGTCTCAGGCTACCAATTCACCAAATAATCGGCTACATGCTAGGAGATCGGCTATGACAAACTCGCTGGTTAGGATTGGAGGAGTAGAAGGGGATTTGGTGAAGAGAGCTTTGGCGGCTTTGATTCGGCCGTCTTCTCACCAGCAAAGACGGCGCGCTGCTTTCCAGCCTCGGCCAAGCCGCTTATCTATCATGTCCAAAGCTCAGGATGATTTATGACCAAAGATCAAATTCCTGGACTTGGACTCTGATTTGTTTTGTTTGTGTATATATAGAAATGTGATATAGAAATATAATATAAAAAATCCGAGCTATTTATTTTGAGGCGCTTAAGGATTAGATCTAATATTAAATTTTGATATACCTAAAACTAAAATCAAATTATAATTGGAGATCAGCTTCAGTCCAGTTCACTACTCTTCTCTCTCTCTCTCTCTCTCTCTCTCTCTCTCTCTCTCTCTCTCTCTATATATATATATATATATATATATATATATTTGCGTGCTGTGTTTGGCGTTTGGTTTGACGTTTGTCGTTTATCCGTTTGTAGGGTGTTTCTGCATTTACGTATCGTGAATGGCGTCGTTTCTGTTCGGTATTCGTTGGATCTCTCCCGTGTAGCCTGGTGGTATGTGTTCTTTTTAAAATTTTCTTCTTTACAGAACATTTTATATTCTTTAATGTTTGGATTTTTTTGTTTTGCAGGTAGGGTGTTAGTTCATGTTTGAAAGCAGCCTAACCTCGTTGCGTCCTTCTGGATATATATTCCCTTTCGGGATTGAAGATGGAGTACCTAAAATTAATTCACTGTGGATTAATCAGAATTCAGAACAGAATGGTTCAAACCAAGGACAATAATTGTGGGAAAAATTGGTCATATGGACAAGTGTCCTGAGAAAAGTAGGATGGTCATCATGTAATTGATGAATTGGACAACCATGTTATTGAAAATGTTAAAAGAACCTATTTCTTAGGAATTTTATTTTAACAGAGTTAACATTACATATGGCTAATGGAGGATTTAGCATCAACATACATTAAACTGATTGAGAATACAATGAGTCGTGACCACCAGAAAGTGAAGGTGGATGGATTAATTGGATAGAAGCCAGCTGCACGAGAATGAGATATTAACTCTATAAAACAATTAGTGTAGATATTGAGGATTGGTTTTGTCCCTATCTTATCAAATACAGAGAGGTCCCATCCCTTATCTACTGAATTACTTTATTGCCTTTGCCTAGAAAAACAATCCCGGGAAGATAAGGTTGTGAAAACGAAAGGTGTGAAGAAGGAGATGGCTTTTGGTGATTTGGTCGTTGTCGATAGAATAGATGTTTCTATTTTTATTTCCTGTAAAGCCATCAAAACGGTTATAAAGTGGAAAATGGAAAAACAATTATATTCACTGAGTAGACTTAATTTGCCAGAAAATGGGTCCCTAAAAAAGCAAAGGTTTCTTAAATGGCGGGGGACAGCCCACATGAAAGCGAAGCAACGATGAAGGATAACAGGTTGGGGAGGGTTCATCAAGCACTATAAACTAGCAGCTGCATATGGGGCCAGGCCATGCCATAGCATAGCATAGCATCTATAATATGGTAAAACAAAACATAATACCATCAGTATTTAATTTTAAGGTAATTTAAAGTGCAACAGAACAATACTAATTTCTTTTATAGTCAGATGGACGTCCACATTACGTGTAATATTCCTAATTGACATTATAGGTAAAGAAAGAACAAGATGTGATCTATATATCATGTGAATAGAAACTCAGAACAAAAAGGAGTCGAGTCAGAAATGTGGATATCTGAGTCAGGAATTGGTGTTTGGGCAATGAGAAAAAGAATCTAGAACCGATGAGGTTGGATATGAGATTTTGTTAGTTTAGTTGAAGTGGGTCCATGTAGTTGGATCGGGTGGGTTAACAATGCATCAGCCACATGGAACGATGATGAAATTCATTCTGTTTCTTTGTTAATTTTCTTTAGAGGATAAGGATAGAGTTTTCTTTTCCTGTCAAATCAATGCTGTTTCTGCTTATAATAATGTTGTATGAGCTGGCAACGCAACCGTGATTAAACAACTCCATTTCTCTTGTCTGTTTGCAATGAACTCAGTTTCTATCTACTTTTTTATTCTACATAGCCATCTGAAGAAGATATATATATATACAATTACAAACCTTCGTTTGCCATCAAAATCACCAAGGTATATCATTCCCTGCATCTGCATGCATGTTTATGATTTGCTCTGTCGACTACTGGCTGTCAACACATCAATCATTTCAGAGACCTACGTTCTTTACAGGCGAAATTCAAACTTAACAAATACTCCACTCCACTGTCATGTCATGAGGTCTTGTCTATGCTAACATTTTTGACAGGATATCATGGGTTTAGAGAGGTGGAAGCAAATCAAAATCTTGTTAAAGTTAATCCATTTCCGTGAAGGTTTTGATTTGTCTTTCTTAGCTGATATCACGGTAATTAAAGAGGTTGGAAACTCAACTGTTATATAAAAGAGAAAGTCCATGGTACATATACATGCAACTGGATTTTGTGACTTTAAACCCACCAAGAGAGTTTTCAGATATTGCTCCTATCATACTACATCATCTGCCAATATTCCAAAACTCATCGAGATAAAGCTGCAACTTAAGGTGTCAATAGAATTGATTGTTGACCAGTTGTACATTTAAGAAACACAAAACAAAAAAGTTCAAACAGTATATGTGTTACCATGAAATCGATCGTCCTATGAAATAATTACTCATCTTTACATGAATCTTATTATGCCTGAAAAATAAAGGGATGATGTAACATCAGCAAGCGTACAAAAGTCAGAATATGGAAACACTTGCAGCGTGCTTTTGTCAGAATAATAGGTACGCGTCAGACCAGCCAAAAGTTGTGGTGATCCTATGTGTCTAATTCCTGCACCAAATCGCGTAAATCACTCTAGAAGGTGGGCAATGTGACATAAAGAAGTATTTACACGGTTAATCTCACCAACTCACAGATCTAGTAATCATTAGCTCAATGCATCCCACTATAAATTGAGAGTTCCTCTCTCATTCAGGGGATTCGCTCATTTTTACTCTTGATTAGCTATTATCTCTGTAATGCAAAAGCATTCTCTTTCTTATACTATCACTTGAAGGCCAGTCAGCTCATGCGACCTGACCTCTATCATTAATAATATAATAGTGGATGTAGGACTTGCTTCCTTAGCATTCGAACCACTTTAAAAACGCTTTTCTCATTGCATTTATCCTCTTTTCTTTACATTCACGTGTGTCTTCTGAGCTAGCTCAGCGTTTCACACGTGCATTTCATTGATGTCAAAATCACGCATCAACAGTTTGACGCTAGAAGGAGGGCTTGATTTAGTGTTCATCCTTCATCAGGAGAATCTCTCACTTACCGGTCCTACAACAGCAAATGGCCCGCCAACCTGAACCTGAGCAAACCAACCAAGGTGTTGGGGGAACCCCCCAAGTCCGGGGGGTACCTCTTCCAAAATACCCTCAGTTCCGCAAGACGTTGCAGGGGATATCCCATCAAGTTCACAACTTGACCCTGCCATTAGAAGTTACCTGGAGAGGTTTGACAGTACTCTCCAAACGGTCAACCGAAGGTTGGATCGTTTGGACCAGAGCGTGCCATCCAAATCAGCTGGGGCGGTGCAACCACCAAAAACACCTGTAGGTCACGCGAAAGTGCGGCAAAGGGAAATAGCCCGTGTCACGAGCACTGCAACGTGTAGACGAAAGGGTAAGCAAGTAGCAAAAAATGGGCCTATGGGCTCCAAAGGCCCAGCGAACACCGACTGCGTCCCAAGTAGAATACCAATCTCGTTAAGACTCGGTGAAAGGACACAGCCCGAGCTGTCCCATGCCACGTCGCAGGTACACCCTAGTAAAAGTGCTGGGCGGGGCGATTCTTATCACTGCTAGCAAAATGATCCAGATCGTCATCGTGCGAGAGGTTCCCACACTTCGTGGGGCGGTTCTTACCACCGCGAAGGTCGTGATAATACCCCACACCGTTCATTGCCATCACACGCCTCTAGCCAACATATGTCGAGAGTGGTCGGAACTGCCGGCTGAGGCGAAGGGGAACTCGACCTCCGGATTTTCCTCAACCGTAATCGCGAGAGTCGAACTCGCATGGGCGAAAGTAATCTCCAAGTGGCTCCATTGCCACAAATTGAGGAGCTGCAGCGAGCTTTACACCGACTAAGAGCTTAGCAAAATGAGTAAGGGCAGGTCGCGTCTGTGTCCCCCTTCTCTCCCGAAGTGCTAGCCGCTCTACTCCCACCAGGATTTAGGATGCCCAACATACAGGCGCTTGATGGAAATTCTGATCCGCAGGATCGTTTATATGAATTTAACAACCTGATGGAGCTTCACTAGGTCTCAGATCTAGCAAAATGTTGTTGTTTGGCAGTGACTTTAACCTCTCATGCCAAACGGTGGTTCAGGCCACTCCCAGCGGGATTGATCAGTTCGTGGCCTCAGATGAGCGCGACGTTCCTAAGGCATTTTCAAGCGAACCGAAAGTTCTCGATGCCTTTGAGTTATCTCAGCAATATAAGGCAAGAAAGGGATGAATCCCTCTTGTCCTACATCGACCGTTTCCATAGAGAACTCAACAAGGTGGCTCATACTCCCGAAGAGTCTATTTGGATTCTCATCATAGCAGGAGTTTGTCCACAAACCGACCTGTGGAAAGAATTACAGGCTGAGGACGATGTTTCCCTCACAGGATTCTAAAACCTTGCAGAGAAGTACCTCTGGATAGAAAATTCATTGGCGGCACTCCGCCGTTGCGACCCCGACACTTCAGGCAGTACGTCTGGTCGGGGGGAAAGCAGACGAGCTGATCGTAGAGGGGCCGTTGACGATCAGCGAAAAGGAAAGAAACCTCGCTACAAGCCCAAAAAGTCTTATGCTCTTGTCCCTCATCGTGATCGCGACAGAGACCAATATACGCCTCTGAATGCATCTGTATCGACTATTCTTGACAAATCGGAAGAAGCCAGCCTGCTCGAAGAGCCCGAGCCCATGAAAACTCCCACGTTAGCTAGAAATAATAAAAAATATTGTTGCTTCCATCGGGATAACGGGCATCACACCGATGAGTGCCGAGCTCTCAAGCAGGCAATCGAAGAGCTCATTAAGAAGGGACATTTCAAGGAGTATATTGACGACTCCGCTCCCGCGAAAGAGAAAAGTCAAGGGGAATAAGGAAAGAAGAGATGTGATCGCAAAGGGTATAGCAGTGTCAACATGATCTTTGGAGGGCCGCACCTCGTGGGGAACATGT